TTACCATAATTCAGATTGCTTTGCTTTGGCAAGCTCCTGGGCGACCACAAGAACTTTTGTTGCTGGCCTAGTATTGGGCCAAGACCTTTTCTTTCCACCTTGCATGTTCGACCACAAGCCCAGTCGAGCCTAAAATAAAGCTGAATGCATCCGTCCGAATTGACCTTGACAGCATCCGTTGATCAGCGAACTTGGTGTCAGATTCCATGGATTGTCTTGTCATGCGTTGTTGCCTATTCGTGCCACGCTGAGGTGATGACCTGAAGTACTACGGAAAGGAAGGCCATGTTTCCGGGTTTGGTTGAGGTTGTTATTTGTTTAATGGCATCCCTTACCTAGTTGTGCATGACCGTAATTTCCAGCTTCATCTCCCGATGTGGTAATTACACTGCACGGGGGGTGTTGTTGCACAGTAGTACTCCATGTATAGGTCATTTCACCCCTAACACTACGTGGCGATGGCTCAAGAAATAGTGCTAGCTGATTTGTGGTGTGTTGTGGTTGGTAACTAGTTTCTACACTATCAAACCAGTTACACACTGAGACTAACCCCTACTAACCACTGCTTCATCCCATTGGGCCCAAGGTGCTTCAGCAAGATGGGCTGCAGCTCACAGTGGTGCCCTTCAACGCATGGATGCGCTGGACCAGGTGGAGAAAAAGCCGCCAGGTACCCTCTGGTAAACCTACAAAAAAACGATGGAAAGTCCCCAAGTTGAAGAGATAAATTATGATAACTTACCACTATTTCTATGACCCTTTCCAGTTCGCAAACTGTTAGTCATTACCAGAAGGCTCCAAAAAAAAGCGAACTATTTTACAGCATTTACCGTCATTTACCTGTTGCACTATGAAGAAACTAAAGTCCTGGAGTCCTGGGTTGACGTTTCGCAAGGCCTTGTCGTCTTTGCCACAGGCCAAGCAGCGCGCATGACGAGGTTTGCAACCAGGATCTGGGGGTAGAGTTGGATGAAACATAAAACATATCGAGAGATATTATACGGACATATAAATCTATAAAAAACACACAAGCGCACACAGATATCTATACATGTATCCGGATATTATATATATATATATATATATTTATATTTATACACATAAATCTATAAGATCACACACATACACACACACACATATATATATATATACAAATATATGTAAGGCCTACATAGATGTAGAAAATCAGTCGCACACAACGCCGCAGCACCAGGCGTTTGGTGCGCGGGCCAGGCACGGTTCGTGGCGATTTGAGCCGAACATGGTGGGAATCTATGGGGATTTATAGGGGATTTATAGGGATCAATGGTTGTTTTTCAAAAATCGTTTCTGAATTCCTCGGGGGTACCATTAAATGGGGGTCAATCATTGCTGCCTGGAAGATGCTGCCAGGGGGGCATTCTCAGCTTGGGAAGCTCATATGAAGGTAGCGGAGGAGCTGTGGCTTTCAGTTCCTGAAATGCTTTTCTTAGCAGCTAGGAGGCGATCAAAAAGCCCCCAAAAATCATGGAACACCAGGTGTTTAAACACTGTTTTCACTTCAATTTTCGTTTTCTCTGAGCGGTTCAATGAGGAGCTAAGCAGCTGCGTTCCAGATCAAATCACCTTGAATTCCGTGGCCGGGAAGCACAGGTGAAAGCCAAATTGGTGAGGCTTGGGGACTGACTCCAAAATCATTGGCTTTGTCCATTGCGGTGGGACCCCAAATCTACAGATTCAGAAAATCGTCATTTGGCCGTTGCCACTTTCATGGCCCCTTTTTTCTCAGGATCCAGGCGTTGATTAGTGTTAGTCATCACCGGACAATTCCTCAGCTATAGCGTGGAGATTTTCCCAGCTAGAAACGTATGAGTAGCCGACAACATGATTCAAATCTTCATTTATAGATTTATAGATATTTATAGTGGGTTTACCATGGTTTACCCTATAAAATCCCATGATTTTCCCGAAAATATAGATTTCCCCCATAAAATCCCAGATTTTCCGGCAAGATCTCGTCAGGTTCAAAGCTGCGCCGAAATCGCTTGCTGGGAAGCCGCCGTGGCGCTGGTGAAGGTGGGCCATGGATTGAGATCATCTCAAAATTCAAAAGAGAACCATGTTTCTGGCTTTAGGTTGGTCCAATTATTTGGATATCAGACATCCCCATTTTGATGTTTCATAATGTTCTATATATCTATATCTATATCTATATCTATATCTATATCTATATCTATATCTATATCTATATCTATATCTATATCTATTATATTTGTTGAATGCAGAAATTTTGGATGCTTAAATCTCAACGTTGGGATGGTCAAATCCACATGTTTGGATGCGTAGGTCCCAATTTTCCATGGTGAAACCACCTCGTTTTCACGGTGAAAAAATCCCAAGCCCAACGCTGCCAGGCTGCCCCATCCTGGTTGGATGTGAAACCGGATGCAGTCAGCCTGGCAGCTTAGGTGGGTCGTTGTTTGTTGCTGGGAGAATCATTGGAAAATGACGGGACAAATTGTAGTTTAATATGGTTCCATATGGTTCCATTTACCAATATAAAGCCACATGGTAGTTTAACATGGTTTAATATGGCTTTAATGTATGGTTTAATATGGTTCCATATGGTTTTAATATGTTTTAATAAGGATCATGATGGGAGAACAATGGGATAGTAGTGGATTTACCCTATCAGACATGGCTGGCTGGGAAATCCCCGAACTAGCAATGGAGGTTTCTGGCTGGGAAAATCATGGAACTAAATGGATTTTTCCATCTAGCCATGTTTGATTACGAGAGGGTAGCATTATTCAACAACCAAATGGTTGCAAACACCAAGACTTGGCATTTCAGATTGTTACCCTCTGGTAAACATACATTAAAAACGATGGAAAATCATCATTTTTAATGGGTAAATCAACGAACTAAATGGCTATTTTCAATAGCTATGTTTGTTTACCAGAGGGTATTTCGTGGTCATACGCTCTGGTGACTTTCACGTGGCAACAGGAAATCCGCAGTGTTCACGGCCAAGGCTTAAATACAGCCATGTCAGCATGTGGGGTGCCCCAGATCAACGGTCAACAGTTTTGCCACAGCTTTGGGGGTTTCCTACAATGGGGGAGGCCCAAAATGGGAAAACCAACGGTTTGGGGTTAGGACCCGTCTTGTTTCTTCGGGGGGACTGTGAAAGGTGTCAACTTGTGTCCGTTCTGTCAGCATGATGTGGGGGTTCCAGTTTTGGCGAAGGTGAAATTAGGTGAAATGCCCATGAACACCATAGGTTCCGGCGCTCAAGAGTGGCAACAAAGTTTTGCAGGGAGCCCAGCCGAAGCCGGGTAGATTTCCATGTCAAGGAACCCCCCATGACGACTTTGCCATGTTTTATATAATTCCCATGATATCTGAAGTATATTCCAATTAATGCCAATTGATATTCGAACTATGGTCCAATTAGTGGTGACATTGTGGTGACTATGTGCCAAGTTATTGCTTATATTCCAGGATATTCCAGGAAATCCCAACTAATTCCCGTCATCGCCAATCATATTCCGACCATATTCCAACCATATTCCAACTATATTCCAACAATATTCATTACTATTCCAACCAACTATTACAATATCCATGAATATTCCATTAATATATTATATTCCAATATGATTATTAATATCCATTAATATCCATTAATATTAATATTCCATTAATATATTATATTCCATTAATATTAATATCCATTAATATTCCAAGTATATTCCAACAAGATTCCTATGATTATTCCTAGTTGCCAGGGTCAGTGGAATTTCCTCAATAGGCCCTCTTCTTCGATTCCCATTCTTTGCGCGTGGCTCCCAACGTGGTCTCCTTCAACGCAGCAATCCATGCCACCGACGATTGGCAGGTGCGGTCTCCAACGGGAACATCCCAACCACAGGAAAAGGAGGAAAAATCATCAACAGATGGCTTTCTAGAAATGGATTTTCCATGTGCATCTTGATTTACTGAAGGCTGGGGGTTTGTAAGTTTTTTTTTTCCCAAAAAATCCATATATTTCATCATTATATTTCCTTTTGTCATTTTGCCTTGGACCTCAAAAGACACACAGGGCGCGCCTGTGATGGGCAGAGCATGGTTGCTTGATGCAGATCCTTTGGCTGACGGAAGGATCTTAAAGATTTCAACCATAAAAAGTGCAGAAAGACGGCAGGACCTCACATTGAAATGAACAGATCTTTGAGACCTGGATTTTTCATAATTTTTCGTCAAAAAAACACATCTCAGGAATGGTCTTTGACAGCGAAGTTTGTGTCGCCCTGTTGAAATAAACGTACACCCAATCAATTCCTAAAATCCTATAGATTGCCACCAAAAGCCACTGACGATTTGCAGAAAAACAAACAACTTCAACCCTGGGGCCATATGGAACATGATTTGGGCCGGTGATTTGTGCCTTGGGCTGCAACAAGATCCCCTGAACGACCTCACCTCGATATATCCGGTGATGAATGGGGAGGGAGTTGTGAATGCAGCTATGGTTGTAGTTGTATCCATTTTCCCAGAAATGGGGAGCCAAGGAGCTACTAAGACTAAGAGCTTCCCAACCACATGATAGTTGAGGGGAACCTCCAGAATCACCTTCTTCCAGGTTGATGGCCGACTAATAACCGACTAATAACGACTAGTTGAAGCAACGAAGGCGGAGAACCTGCCCGGGAATAGGATGTTCCTGTCAACATAGAGTGTTTTATCAATTTTTCATGTCCAGCATGGGATATATTCGGGATAAATACGTGACATGACCTTACATTACGGCCCATCAGATTGCACAGGGAGGTTTCTTAAAATGGGTCATCCCCAAGTCAGCATGGGTTTCAGTACTGTAGTTTGGTCGTTCATGACTTGGATGATTGGGGGGTACCCCGCTTTTACCAGACCTCCAAGAGGAATTGGTATTCCTGTTATCCCCCAGTGCTTCAAGACCCGTGCCCCCACCGCGGACCCGCCCCTGCCACAGGAGCCAGATGGATCAATGGGATCCATCGTCCGACGTGGTCTTCCCAGGGCACCTGAGGAGTTTTTCCAGTGCCACGGGCTATGGCTTTGTACATAACAAGGAGCTCCAAGAGAAGTTCGGACGCCCCTCAGCTCGGCGATGATGTGGGGGAAAGCTTTGTTGCGTGAGGTGGAGTTAAGGCACACATTATTATGGGTGGGATTTTGAAGGACCAAAACGCACGAGTCATACAAGTTGTTGACAAGACAAATGAAGGATTTGATGGGATTTCATGGGAATTTCGCCACAACAACAGATGAGGGATTTCACCAGCCAGATGCGGCTCGCACAATTTTTTCAGGGAAATCATGCAGCGGTGGTCGACCAATGAGACTTGGGGGACTAACCGGGCAACTTTGGAATTGAACGAACAACAATGATGGGAACCTATCCATGGGTTTGCGCAAAAGATGGGCGGAGGACCTCAATGAATGGCCCTGCGTACCAGCTTCTGAGTCTTCGCACCTCACACATGAAGGAAGATTGCTTGGTGCCCCATCTCCCTTTGCAGATTGGAAACATGGGATTGTGCAATTGGAAACGCGTTGCTCTTGCAACCGTGGATTGGTTGCCTTCTTCGTTGTTGTACCGTTGTATGGTTGTACCATGTTGTACCCTCTTTGTGTGCTTGTGAGGGAACTGTTGGGCCCCATGTGAGTTCACGCAAGGCGATGTCTATGTACACGCATCCTTGCTCCCTGCCGGAATCGTTTGTGGTGCCTCGTCTCTGTTGGCGCCGTTTGATGCTGGACAAAAAACATCTCCCGGACTCGGCTGGGAACACTAAACTACTAAACTGATCTAAACTGTGCCGAAGTTTTGTTTTCTGGGGATGAAGCCATGGATTTGCCCTCTTTATGATATGCCTGGCAAATGTGTTGTGTTGCTGTTTATTTTCTCCACAGTTGCTCAAGGGTTTGCCATTTGCAGGTGCGAAGGTGGTTTTCACCCTGGCGTGGACCCCAGCATTGGTGTGCCCAGACAGACTCTCACTCCTCCCAGCGTGTGTCTTTGCCCCCAGATCCCGTGGTTGTTATTGGTTTATCAGCGAAAAATTATGGCCATCTCCCCATTGAAATGATGATTTTTTGGCACCCCCCCAATGTTGAAGCTGGGGTGAAGATTCAGTGAAGTAGGATGGACATTGAAACAAGGCTCCAGAATGAGGGAGTCTTCCCAGTTGCTCCGCTCTCATCCCCGCGCTCTGTGGTGGCCTGCGATTCAGGGAGTGAATGACCGTGGTCAACCGCAGTGTCGACAGGTTTGGGAAGAGGACAGGTGGAGAGGATGGATGCTCTAACCCGGGGAAGGAACGAAGAAACCGAGGTGGGGATGGGTCAGAACGGTCAGAACCGTCAGAACGGTCAGAACGGTCAGAACCAAATTTGGCAATGATTTAATATCGACGTATATCAACATATATCAACATATATCAACATATATCAACATATATCAACATATATCAACATATATCAACGTATGGCCATGGAAACCTAGGAACCTTCAATATTTTATGGGACCGGCTCCGGTCCTGCAGGGTTGATGGAAGAGTCAGCCTGGAATCTCTCCAGAGGCTAGAAGTGGCTGCAATCAAACATGCCAGAAATGATGGGAAAATGATGGAAACATGATTGAAAAATGATGGAAAATGAGGAGTCAAACGACTTTCCGATATGTCTAATGGAGCAACTGGGTGTCGTCGGTTTCCAGTGAGACTGCGTCAGGACACCTCTGAACTGGATCAAAATGCCATCTTCGAGCTGCTCCCAGTGGCTGCTTTGAAACCCTTCCCAGGCTGCTCACATGTCGAGGCAGGGCCACAGTGATGTGGGGATTACAAGAAGCATACTCTCAATTTTTCTGATTGGATCCTTGACCTGTATGAGATATTGACACTTGATCCAGCATGTTCTTGCATATATATATACACATAATATTACATGGGTATTACATGCAGGGCCATGCTCTGCATATTTTCTTGTTTCGCCACTTTTGAATGCCTGCTCCATTCTTCAGGAGGAGACTATTCGACTGCTCTCATGGAACATTTTGGCGCCCAGCTACTGCAATGGCCTATACTTCAAGGAGAGCTGTGCACACCCAACTATTGGTTGGTTATTTGTTCCTGGCTTCAATGTGTTACCAGGGGCTTTAAATGGTTTCAACCACTACAAATGGTGTACTATGGTTGATATATGATGATTGATGGTTTAATGGGAAGTGTGCAACTCATCCATAAATCGTAATAGCGATTAACCAACGAGTATTATAGAACGGGATAGGGCATTCCAGTATAGTATAATGGGACGGGATAGGCTATTTTCACCTGTGAATGTTCTTCAGCTGAGTTTTGGGTCCTTTGACTCCTAGCTTTTCATGTCAGCAGCCGCTTTGTTAAACTTACCAGTCCCCAAAAAACATTCATAGCAAGTGTGTTTCCACCTTTTTTTCCCCCCTTTTTGGGCCATATCCCTGTGTTTTCCATGGTAAAAAACCACCACCTTTTGGCCCCACAGGGGATGGCCCGAAATGGCCCGAAATGGCCCGAACACCTCCGGCCCGGCTGCAGGACGTCCAATCCGAATTCCTCCGCTGGTCCCGACGCGCTTGGCAGATCAAGGAGCCATTTCGACATTTCGACGGACACGGCTCAAAATGGTCCAAAAATGAATGGTTTAATATGCTTTAACATGGTTTAATAGGGTTCAATTTCTGGAAAAATTCTGGAACATGACCAGTCTGATTGTTTGATGCAACAGTTTGGTGATTTGTCTAGCATGAATTGTCTGGGGTCGCCAGGCTCTACTCTTTTCGTTGTGCCCTGACATTGTGTGCCTGCAAGAGGTCGGGGAAAAAAACGGGAGAAATCTCCGATGGGAAACCACCATTGGTTCATGGGGATTCCACGAGTTCTCCAACCGTTCTCCCGGGGACAGGGTAAATAAGCACAAGATCCCAGGTAACGGTGATGGTGAGTGACTTTTCCATCATTTTTTGGTGATCACTGGCTGTTGATATCTGTTGATCATGGAAAGTGAAGAGCTACAGCTATCGAAGATGCGCTGGAATGGGACATGGGATTCCTCAGCTGTCTGATGGCAGATCAACTTAACTGAGAGGAGTTAACATAGTTAACTATGGCAACTATATGAGATTCTTGTGGATGTTTAATGGATGTTGGTGGATGTTGGTGATATTAATAGAATAATTAAGAAGTTAACATGTTAATAAAACATGTTAGCATCCATTTTATAGAATAATATCCATGTTGTGGATGTTGTGATATTCTAAGATTTCAGAACTTTTTTCTGAACCGTGGGGATTCCTCGAGCTGTTCTCCGAAGGTGGAATGCCAGCGCCTGGGGGAATTGGGTTTGTGCCTCGTCGCTATGAAAGCCTCAAAATTTGGATGGTCAAACACTCTACCAATAGGGGGATATAATGGGACTATACATGACTAATAGGACTATAATAGGACTATAATAGGACTATAATAGGACTATAATAGGATTATAAGTGGATCTTAATGGGATTGATAGATATTGATAGAGGTGTAATGGCCAACCGGGACATGGATCACTTTGTGGTTCAGTTATTGTCAGTTGCTACTCGTTGCCATTGCCCGATTTTAAGCTGGTACACGTGTGAGATGTCTACGTAGAATCAATGTGGTTTGGGCCCATCAGTCAAAGCGCAGCCACACTTCTGGGCAAAGGGGGTCCAGCTACCACGCACTTTGTAGCTGGCACGTCATCATTCAAACATGCCGATTGAAAATCCACGAACATAGGCTGGTTGATGATTTCAGATTTTTTCCATTATCCATTATGGACAATTGAAAATGGTGGTTTAATTGAAAATGGTGGTTTCAAACATATGGGATGGGGTGAAAACCACCAAAATCAATAGAGACGAAATGTTTCTTTCTCCCAGCACCCGTTCTTGAAAATGCAGCCAAGGTATTCCTATCAAGCAGAGTGCCCCGGGCATGGGAGAATCCTCACAGTTGGTACATCAGTGGCGTATTTGCAGCTCAACCGTGGTTTTTGAACCTTTGCAGGTCAATTTTTGAGCAAGGCATCCAGTAATAGAATCTGCGACTTTGAATTTCAGAGTTTCCCCATAAAGGTCGGGTTTTTTTTCGGGGTCATGGTACAACTGGGGACCATGGGACCATGGCAGGTACCTTCAACGTCCAGCTGGAGCTACTGGGACTCGCTTGGATGGCTGCTTAGTGGCCTGGCGTTCCGATCGCTTCCGACTTTTGAGGAATCTGGGAATTGGCTGGTTAGGCCCACAGAAATCTAGGCTCAGGTGGTTTCATTTTTGCCCACGTTCCTCTCTTTTACTCGGACAACGCGATTCCTGCTTAGTATATAAGTCTAGGTTTAGTAAGTCTAGGCTTTCTATGCCTTTCTGATCTTTCAACGGATTCCAACCTGTGCCGTGAAACGGCGCTCCGGCGCAGGAAGAAAGCGTTGCGCTACGATGAGCATCTGCCGCCAGATGGAGAACGAGGGCACTCGGGACATGTGGCCTGATCCGAAGAGCCAGTTGCAGGGTCAAGCTGTGAGTGGGGGGTGATCACTTCTCAGTCTTTGATCATTAGATCCGCATTAATATCGTACAAGGTGGTGCCCCCAAGATAGCTAAGTTGGTTTATAACTCCAATAACTATGGTTTATAGGTGATATATCTATAGTTAATGGGCTTATAAACCAACTTATAACTGGGGGGCACCACCTTGTAGTGTGTCAAAACCTTGTACCCCTGTAGTTCACATCAAAATAGCTGGGATTTATGGATGTTCATCCCCCTAAACATGGTATTATATAATAGGTATTGATCCATACCCATATGATGAATCACTACTTTGGCTGGTTAAATTTACCCTCTGGTTATGACTAACATAGCCATGGTATAGATGGCCCATAGAAATAGATGGTTTACCTGGCTTTACCGTTCTTGAAAATGGTGGATCTTTCCATGGCGAACTGTTTTTTCTCATCATTAGTCATCCATTATCAACATTTATCAACCAATATTAACCAATATTAACCATGGTTACCATCTGGCCATTTTTGAGGCTTCAAACCAGCAGTTTTTCCACCATAAATTGGCTGCTTCAGGTGGCTCTGTTGGTGGAGCTCCAGCCTCTGGATCGCTTGAAGCAGCCCTTACTGGTGGCCACCACCCACCTGAAATTCGGGGAGGCGGAAGACCTGCGACTCGCACAGGCACCGGGTAGGGTAGGGTGCCCAATTTTTGTGTGGGAAATGGCCATCCAACATGGTGAAACTTGGGGATTTTTACAGGTTTTACCATCGTTTTACCAGTGTGAGTTTGACCTGTCTAATGTATATTTTGTATAGCCAAGTGATCACATGCCCCCGTTGACATTTGGCTTTAGGGCCCTTGAGTCATACCGCGCTGCCGTGGTAAAAGTTGGGCATTTGACGATCCCGTTTCCAATTCAGATTGGTAGCGGAGCAGGTGACGACCTGCATCCGGTGGTACGTCAGTGACCCAGGGAACCCCTTTGTGAATTTGAGTCTGGTAACTTTGGGAATCAACTGAACTTCGAGTGTGTCGTGGTTCGGGAATCTGTCTGACCCTGACCAGGGCAGACACTTGTTAACGTTTTTCCTTGTTCGACTCCGAACGGAGCGAGCATCATGTCGATCAATGGCCTTCGTTTCAATCAGGAACGCCATTCGTCGGCACCACTTGAGACGAAGAGTGGATCATACATCTATGCAGGTGATGCGGCGAACTTTCATGATTGGCAGTTCAGGACTCTCCTTCGGATTCGTCTTTATGAGCAACAATTGGAGGAGGAGACAAGTAAGCCTGCGGATCCCGTTGGGACCACAGCAACAGAGCCTGCCGCAGAAGACGCAGATGAGTATGTTACTTTTCCAGATTTGTCGGGTGCTACTCAAGCAGCCCAGCCTACATCAGCAGTCTCGACTCCGAAGTCTGGAGCGAGCCGAAAATCCTCGAAGTCCGGCAAGCAGAAGACAGACATTGACCGTGGACCATTGGTCAACAAGGTGATTGAAGGACTGAGAGGAGATGCTTTCTCAATAGCTAGGGATCTTGGACTTGAAGTGTTGTCCAAACCTGGTGGCCTTGTGAAACTTGTGGGTGAGATCAAATCCCATGTGTTTCCAAGAGCCCGTGAGGAAGCCAAGGAATTATTTCGAGCAGGACAGAAGCAAGGTGGTCCTTTGTCTCGCCAACCAGGCGAACCCATGCTTTCCTATGTTCAGAGGAGACGACGTTGGTGGCACATGCTATGCGAGTTGGATGACACAATGGTGTTTTCGGACAGCTTGAGGACAGAGTTGATGTTGGAGTTGAGTGGGCTCAATCGACAGGAGATCCTCGTTGTGAAGGCCTGTGCAGACACTAAAGATTTTGAAGGTGTTGGCAAGGTGCTGATCGAGAACTACAGTGGCACTCACTTGCGAGAAGGGTCACGATCCTGGACAGGACGTGGTAATCCTCAACAGCATGGCAAGTCGTCAGGCAAGGGTTATGGCAAAGGCAAACCTTCTTCGAAGGGATCGTATTCCCAAGCAGCCTATGCAGCCTACCCCGATGATGGGGAGGAACATGCAGAACCTTGGGATGAAGCTGTGGATCAATCCTGGGAGGATGATTCATATGTTGGCATGCTTGGTGACATTGCAGAAGAGGAGCCAGGAAACCTAGAAGGTGACAACGAATTTGATTACTTTGACGACGTCGATGAGTACGAAGCAGTTGCATTGAACAGCTTGCTTGAAGTTGAAGGTGCAGAAGACGATCGACAAGCAGGAGACGCCATCCAGCTACAACTTGCTGCTTTCACTGCAATGGGGAAAGCAGGTGGCAAGGGGAAATCCTTCGGGAAGCCCAAAGGAAAAGGCAAAGGAAAGATCGTGAAGTCCAACCTCACTATCGATCAGAGGAGACGTAAGCTCACAGAGCTGAAGTCGAAGAGCAAATGTTTGAGGTGCGGAGTCATAGGGCACTGGGCCGGTGACCCGGAATGTAAATTCCCGGGGTCGAAAGCCGGAGCCCCTGGAAAGTCAGCCCCAAAGCCCGCAGCTCACTTTGCCGACATGAGCGATTCTTCAGATGACGATGGTGTGACTTTGACAGCTTCACCTGATCGTGACAGAGATGGAGTTGCTATGATGGCAGTTCGACAAGCGAGGCCCAGCAGTCGACCTTCACGTGCCGCAGCATCCAGCAGCAACGTTGGCTTGATTTCCCGGGATCTCGATGTTACAATGAGACCCGAGGACCATGGGTGCATCTTTCCTGTTGGACAGTTCAAGGGTTTGTCTTTTTGGAATGTGTTGTTTGAACAGACAGGGTACTATCATCATGCCAAGAAACATACCCCCAAGAGTCCATACTATGTCACATGGTTGAATTGGGTTGACAAGTACTTTGTGGTTGGTGCTGATGGGATTCACTTGCGCGAAGTCCCTGTTGAGCATGTCGAGCACCGAGATTTGTTGGTGGCTCGGGGAACTGGCAGAAAGAAACCCCCAAATTCTCCTTTGCCGAACAAGTGTCAGGAATGTCGTGAGTTTACAAAACAAGGTTCTACGGGGTACACCATCAGGAAGACCTGTCTTGTGTGCGGTCATTCCGAAACAACAAGGCGTGACATGGTACCGTTGATGTCCCCTGAAAATTGCCCTCATGATGACACCGATTTTAGGGGATCCAGCAAATCAACACACCGTACTTTCTGCAAGAAGTGTTGCACTTTCATTGATGAAGCTCCTATGCAGATTCGTAAGGAGCGTGTTGCAATTGCCAAGAAGGTTGAAACAGCATCAGTTCGAACAGTCCCCATTGTTGAATCATTGGTTGAAGAATCGGATGGATTGAATCCAGTCCAGTTGGAAGAGTTGTTACCCTTGTTTGCCACTCTTGTTACCGAAACCTGTCAATCTGAGGTGATGACCCGTGCACGACTTCATGAACTACTGCATCAAGCCATCAATGACGTGACAGAGGAAGAGGACAGTTTTTCTCTTGTCAATGAAGATGGGCACGGCGACCCCTCGGGCAGGGAGTTAGCTGGGTACGTTGGCATTTGTTTGCATGGAAGCGACACTCAATACCCTCAAGACTTGGTTTACATGAACTATGAAACTGTTGACATTGCCAGGTCATCCCATGTCTTTGCAGTATTGGATGAAGGTTGCAACAGCACTTGTCATAGCAAAGCCTGGGCAGTCGATGCAGAAGCACGACTGGCCCGATTGGGTTACAGTATGCCATTGAAGGATGACGGTTGTAAGAGTTTTGCTGGTCTGGGAAGTGGTAGTACCAAGACCGAAGGTGTGAGATCTATTCCTTTTTCGCTGCTGCTTCCAGACGGGAACATGCATGGGGAGTTGGATTCATATCAATTGTCGACAGGCAACAGTCCATTGCTTCTGTCATTGCATGCGCAAACCAAGTTAGGCCTAGTGAAGGACCTAGCAAAAGGGGTGATTTCCATCAAAGATCAACCATTGAATATCAAGAGATGTTCCAAATCAGGTTTACTTGTGATGAACTTGACTGAAGGATTGACCAACATCAACAACACACCGTCGGATGAACTTCCCCAAATCCCGAAGTGTCACAGAAAGTACAACATCGCATACACAGCATCCACATCGGAAGTTGCCATGGCTGACCATGACATGTGTGGTTTTCATTCGAGGGACTACGACATCTTGCAGACGAAGTTGAATGAAGAACTGCGCAGTGACAGGAAGGTGGTCATCATGACTCGTGGACGTAGATTTCAACAACATGCGTGCAGAACCAGCAGGAGCACTTTGAGCATCAACTGTGAGGACATTAACGATCCTGATCAGGACGTTAACCTCAGGTCGCATGTGGGTTGGCATCATGGGATCCTTGAGACTATGAGCAAAGTAGACAGGTTCATCCAACATCTCAACAACATCCTCCAGTTCGTCACACAGCAGGAAGCCGACAGTAAGGTGCTGGTGGACTTGGAGTGCAAGTCAGGTCGCCACAGGTCAGTGGGACAAGGATTTGCTGCCTACAGGTGTCTCAGAGTCCTTGGTTATGACGTTGTTCTCATTCATGCATCATCCTGGATGTGGGGAGAGATGCGTTGTGGTGGAGTTTGTCATGGATGTAAGGACATGGCTGCGAGCTTGGGACAAATTCGACATTTGATCCCGAACATGTCAAGGTTGGCACGATCACGAGGCAATGTGGCTTCAAGCCGTGACGTGCGCGATGCTCCAGCCGATGATGTTTCAGGTGGACATTCATCTCATCCTACATCAGATCACCCCACTGCAGGACATCCTACATCAGATCAGCTTGATGAGATTCGACGTTTGGTACAAGGGCTTGCAACAGATGTTGGACATCTTAGGACAGAACAGGTTGAGATCAAAAGGATGGCCGAGACCGGAAGGAGATCAAGGAGTCCATTGCGTCGACGGAGATTGCCGACGCCACCGTCGCCACCAGCAAGGCGCAGAAGATCACCAAGTTTTCGTCGCAAGTTACCTCCTTGGAGACATGCACAAGCATCCAGGGGAAGAAGTCCATCGCCGAGGCCACTATCTGCGAGGCCAGCCCCCAGGAGCCCAGATCATCCTCCACCGCACATTTCGGACGTGCCAGGGACCGATGACGGATCCCGATCTTCAGGGGCCATGGATGGACCTCGAACTTCAACGTTGCCACAACGATCTCGAGAGCCTCCCAATGATCGCGATGAACTTGAGCGACTGATCCGAAACAATTTGGCATCAGATGGACCGTTTGACAACAAGAACGTGTCAGTGAAGACATTGGACGGCGAGCTCCTTAGCGAAGTTGTGTCTTTTTGCATCCGTGAGGGTAACAGGGATCGGCTCTTTTGGATTTGCAAAGATGGAGAAGACCCACTGGTGGAAGGAGTTCGCATGAACGTCCTGATTCGAGATCATATCCGGCCAAATCGGATTGTCAAGGTCTCGAATGGCATCAAGCACTGGAAGCGATCTACATGGTGTCGACCTCGCAATGGAGGCGACTGGGAACTCATTGAAGACAACGTTGATAGCAGGGCAACAGTGCGTTTGAGCAACTCGTGGATCGATGTGATTGTGTTTCACCACCCACCTGGGGTGTTCGATGACTCCGGGAGGGGAGCATACATGAGCGTTCGTGTCAGGTTGACCCCCAACAAGAAACTTCGGGACGTAAGGGATGATTTTGAAAAGTCTTTGAATCCAAAAGTTGAGATGAAATCCTCAGAACCCAAAAGAATGTATGCAGTGAAGTCGAAGCCCCAGCCAAAGGTCTTGACGCCCAAGTTGGAACAGGATGATTCCGATTCTTATGAATATGACTATGAGTATTCTTCCACTGGTTTCATGGCCGTGCGTTTTGATTCCAACGTTGATTTGACAGTCCATCCTGATGAGAGGAGGACTATGAGCAAGAAACACAGGAAGATGGTGTTGGAAGGTATCAACAATCTCAACAACCATGATCGTGTGATGCAATCCAGTCTTGGGATGCAGCCTCAAGTTTCCAATGGTACTTCAGGGGTTGCAATCATCACGTCACATCCGACTCTTTTCCAGGATTTTTTCGAGCACACCTATGACGTTGGCATGAATGCTGCCTACTTGGACGGTGATGCTGAGCAACACGGTTGGAAAGACATGTTCGAAGGTTGCACATTGGTCATTGTTGCAATTGAATACAAGTCAGAACATTATCCACTGTGTCATGGGGATCTTGTGTTTGAGTTGGAACAGTATTGTGATGCCACAGGGTGTAGGTTTCTCATTGTTGATGTCGCACACACTGAACGATGGGAATCATTCAAAACACCACAGATACCATACATCAATGAAGTTGGTCTTGCTTTTGTGTCAAATGATGATGAACTCATCCAAGGTTTTCAGGACTGGTCTATGTATCGACAATTGGATGACGTTTTGAATTGGGAGTTTTGTCAATGGATTCGTGATTGGTCACTTGAACGTGAATTGGAGGAGCAGATGAGCGTTGCCTTTCCAGCAGAGATCATCGAAGAGGCTCAGGAACATGGTGGGAACTGGGATGCAGTCGATGGCCCAGAAGATGTTGCATTGCAGGATCCAGTTGAGGACCTGACACATGAAGAGACCCTTTTGGATGATGTTGATATCCCTGGATTGCCAGAGGATGAAACAGAAAGGCGTAGGTCTTGGCGCAAACTTCCCCAGCGTGTCAGGATTGCTGTGCGTAGGTTGCACAGGGCTTTTGGACACGTCCCCAAGTCGGTGATGGTCAATTTGGTGCGTGCTGCAAAGGTGAGTAAGGAGTTTGTTGATGCAGTGAAGTTGCATAGATGTGAAACATGTGAGAAAACATCAGCAAAGAAACCCACTCACAAAGTCACGCTTCCAAGTGATTATGCATTCAACCATACTTTGGGGATTGATGTACTGGAGCTGACAGATGTAACTGGGCAGAAGTATCAAGTTCTCAACATGGTTTGCATTGGCACTTGTTTTCAACAGGCTGAAGTTGTGAAGGTTGGAGCAGGTCAAGCTTCTTCGCGATCCTGTTTGGACGCACTTATCAAACGTTGGTTCAGTTGGGCAGGACATCCTGTTGCTATCATGTGTGACCGTGGTTTGCACAATCGTGGTGTCTTACAACAATACATGGATGAACATAACATTCAAGTGCACCATGTGCCCCTTGAGAGCCCGGAATCATTGGGCCGAGTAGAGAGGCATGGTGGTTTGTTGAAAGCTCTTTTCAGGCGAGTGTGTACAGAAGTTGGGGCTTGTACCAAAGAACAGGTTGAGTCGTGCATCACACAAGTGCTCAGTGTGAAGAACGACTCTGCACGTGTTGGAGGCTTTTCTCCATCTCAGTGGGTGCTTGGTCGAGCTCCACGTGGTGTAGCTTCACTCATGTCTGAGGAAGACCATGCACAGCTCGGAGCCATTCAGGCCCGACATGATCCTTCATCAATTTTTGCATTACAACATTTGGCCAGGATTGAGGCACAAAAGGCTTTTGTTCACCTTGATTGTTCAAGAAGAGTTCAGAGAGCGTTGACACGCAATGCCAGTGTGTTTGACCGTGAGTTCAACATTGGTGATCTTGTCACTTTCAGACGAGACAATCAGAGAGGAGGAACGTCCTGGTCACCAACATGTCGTGTGATCGGACACGAGAACCAGAAGAACATATGGTTGCTATGTGGTAACGTTCCAGTACTTGTAGCTTCTCACAACATACGCATTGCTTCTCCTTCTGAGGCTCTTGCTCAATCAGTGTTGAATGGTGAACCTGTGATTCCATACAAGATCATCAATGATACAGGTCAACAAGCGTTTCTTGATGCAAGACAATCAGATGAGGTTGAAGTTGTTCGTGATGGTCCAGGACAAGCAGATGATGTTGAGGTTGTCCATGAAGGCAATGTGGATTCAGCACTCCCTCCTATACCAGAAGTATCTGAAGATGAATGGGATATACGGCCCGGTTTCTTTGAAGAAGATGAGGAGGAGGAAGATACAGGTCCAATGGAAGAAGACATCTTCTCACAGAGTAGAACCCCAGAGAGAAGAGTTGAAAGACCACATCCAGGAGATGGAGGTCATGAACGCAACGTGAGACCTCGAGTAGAGTCTCAGTTACAACCTGAGTCGGAGAGAGGCTCATCACTTGTGCCATCTCGAAGAGACTCCTTTGTGCCTGATCTTACTCCAAGTGGCTCCGTTTTGGGACCACTATCCTCGCCGTCAGCATCATCTTGGCCATTGCGAAGGGAACTTTTGGATGACTTACCACATCAATTGCGAACACATCTTGAAAGAGCTCGTGAGAGACTCAGAACGAAGTCCTGAAGAACAACAAGAAGCACGAGCATTGTTTGCATCATTTTTGTCCCAGGAAGTTGAAGTCCCTGAGGACGAAGAGCAAGGTAAGAAAGTGTTGAAATCAATCCACTATGAATCAGCGTCACCTGATGTACAGAAGAACATCATGGATGCCAGAACCAAGGAGTGGAGCAAGTTCCTTGAGTTCGCTGCTGTTGTTGAAATCTCAAAAGAAGATGCTGAGAGGTTGATTGCTGAAGGACATCAATGTATTCCTAGCAAGTGGGTTGATGTCGACAAGAATCAGTTCATGAAAGGAAGATCAGATCAAGAATATGTGCCAAAGTTCAAGAGCCGGTTGGTATCATGCGGCAATTTCGAAGTCAGTGAAGGTTTGAGATCAGACAGTCCTACAGCAGATACGGAAGCTCACAACATTCTTTGCTGTTGGGCGGCGATCCAGGGCGCACAATTGCACAGTGCGGACGTCGCATCCGCATATTTCCAAGGTCGTCCTCTTGATAGAGTTCTCATTATGAGACAACCCCGAGGAGGTCTCCCGGGAGTTGATCCAGAGGTGTTTTTCCTTGTGCGGGTGCCTATATATGGATTGACTGACAGCCGTCGAGGTTTTTGGTTGAGGTTGGACGGAGATGCCCGATCCAGTGGCTTGAAACAATCCAAGTTTTACCCAGGATTGTATTTCCTTCCAGGAACCGACAAAGATTGCGTTGCACTTATGGCGACACATGTGGATGACATCTTGTACGCATACATTCCTGAGGGAAAGTCAGTGATCGACAGCTTCTTGGAGAAGTTCAACTTGGGATCAAGTGAATCAAATTCGTTTCGCTATTGTGGCAAGCAATTTGAGCGTACTGCAGATGGAACAATCACACAAGACACTTGTGACAACACCCGTCGCATCAAGCCGATCAAGATCGCGCCAGGAAGATCAGCGTCCGAGCCGTTGGGTAAGGATGATGTGACCCGATTACGATCTGTAACGGGATCATTGGCATGGGTGGCAAGGCAGACTAGACCCGATTTGGGTTATCGTGTGAGCCGCCTACAGTCCAGTATTTCTGGAGCGACAGTCGCTATTTTGCACGACGCAAATGCCGTAGTACAGCTGGCACAACAAGGTATTGAGAACAAACTTATTTTTCCAGGTGGACATCTAACCTGGGGAGAGGTTGGTATCATTACAGTAACAGATGCTTCATTTTCAAACGAGAAGAACTACAAATCACAACAAGGACGTTTCCATTTTCTTGGAGACATCAATGAGATCAAAGACCCCAAGACTACATCCTACAGGGTGATGCCATTGGGATTTGCATCAAATACAATTCGGCGAGTATGCCGCAGCACTCTTCAATGCGAGGCTTATTCACTGCAGGCTGGACAAGAGAGCGGTGACAAGCTACGTGGAGCATTGGCCGAACTGATGGGCCAACTTGACTCGATGAAAACATGGTTGGATGACAGCCGCAGCTGTATTCCACAACTGATGCTTTCAGACTGCAGGTCTCTAACAGACCATCTTGCGAATGAGGTACTCGGCAGGGTCGCAGACAAACGACTCGGCATTGAGTTGCAGTCGATTCATGAGTCACTTTGGCAAGACGGCCGGAGGACCTGGGATATGCATCATGGCGGAGGAGACATTGTTACCTGGATTGCTACAGGAACTATGGTCTCGGATGCTCTGACCAAGAGCATGCGCCCGGACCTCATTATCCGCGTCTTGAAGGAGTGCATTTACCGTGTACAGAAGAAGCCTTAGAGCCAACTTTTTCACTAGCATCATGTGATCCTTGAAGAACAGGTTGAGTGTGAGTTTGACCTGTCTAATGTATATTTTGTATAGCCAAGTGATCACATGCCCCCGTTGACATTTGGCTTTAGGGCCCTTGAGTCATACCGCGCTGCCGTGGTAAAAGTTGGGCATTTGACGATCCCGTTTCCAATTCATACCAGTGAAAAATGGTGATGAAAATTGGGATTTACCATCAAAGATGGTGAAACCGTGAAACCTGCCATTTTCACCATCAGAAACAATGGTTTAAAATGGTGGTATAAGAATGGGACAAGTGGTGTTTCACCATCAAAAGAGTCATGACACATGGGACGCTGTTCTTTGTTTGGGACGCCGCCTTTTGCAGATTTGCTCAGGCAAAGATCCTGCTGCGTAGCATTGAGCAGTTCGGAAATGAGCAAATTCTGTTGTGTGCCTTGCCTGTCACTGGGTTTGGTACCTGAAAATGATGGAATTTGATTTAGCACCCCCATGGCATCACGGCCAATTTTCATGGGAGATGATCATCTGGGGCATTTTTTGGATGCCGAAATTCAAACCCAATGGTGAAGCCAGAGCAAGGACCATGGGTTGTTATGATGCAGCTGTTTGAGAGGTGATGTGGGACTGGCATGGCATGGTATGGTATGGCATGTTGACATTGATTAAACATGGTCAGCATGATATGTCAGCATGCTGAATCAATATTGGGGGGAAGCCCCAAACCACTTAGTCACATGGAAAGATGTCGCAAGAGTTGTCATCTCGGAGGTTTGGATTGAAATGTCAAGTAGATTTTTCGAGGCGGCGACTTGAACTGTTTGCCCAACAGCGACACCTACAACTTCCTGAGTCAGAGGTTGCATTCTGCATACCAGGTGCGGTGTTTTTTATTTTGACCTTGCTGGGAGATGTTTTTAGGCCCCCAAAACGGCCAAATCATGCAGGCAGCTGAGCTCCAGGTGACACGGTGAGCGTTGCTCAAAAGCCCTGTTGGATGTTATATGATGCGGTTATACTATCCAATATACTGGGCATTCTCGCAATGGGAAAGCCCTTTTCAGCAGCCAATAATCCAATATTTTTGGGGACGACAGATTCATCATCTTAGTCATCTCTTCTGCGCATGATGATCCCAACTGGGATGCTTCAGTTGAAACCAACTGCTGTTTTTCAGGATTTGGAGGGTGATGAGAATGGACTTTGTACGGCCACCAATGCGAACGTCTGTGGAGAACAGGGCTTTGCGGAGACGCTTCGGCGAGTTGTACTCCTGTCATCCGTTTCTATGAACAGAAACAGTTTCAATCTGCCCCAAATATGCATAGATTCTGATTCTGAATCAGGGTTCAGTTGGTTGAGGGATGTTGAGGGGGATTTAGGATATCCAGTGGTCCATCATTCCTCGTTAGAGTGGCGGTGCAGTTGAGGTTTCTTTTATGGCTATAAATTCCAGTAGTACCGCACAAGGCGGTGGCGGAAGTTTCAAAGATAGGAGAGGTGAGTTGTTGTGATGCATGGATGGCAAAGCGAATCCACTGATGGACCGAAAAGTGGTTGGAGTATGTTGGAGTTGTGTTTTTTGGAGTGGTTACTGCTACAATGGTTGCAGTGGTCACCTCACCCACAACTGCTGGATGTAGTGTGGTGTAGTGCAGTTGTAGTTGTAGTTGTAGTTGTGGTGTAGTGGAGTTGTAGTTGTAGTTGTAGTTGTAGTTGTAGTGTAGTGCAATTAGTGTAGTGTACTTGTAGTTGCAGTGCAGTTGTAGTTGTGGTGTGGTTTGATTAGTGTAATGGAACGTACTGTAGCGTAGTGTACTGTAGTGTTGCGTGCTGTAGTGTGGTATAGTGATAGTGTAGTGTCAGTGTAGCCTAGTGTAGTGTAGTGTCAAGTAGTGTAGTTGTAGTTGTAGCATGTTGTAGCTGTAGGGAAATGTAATGTAATTAGTGTAGTGTAATGTAACATACTTGTAGTTGCAGTTGCAGGTGTAGTTGAAATTGTTGTTGTGGTTGTAGTTGTAGGTGTAGTATAGTGTAGTGTGGTAATGTAGTGTAGTTGTAGTTGTAGTCGCAGTTGCAGTTGTAGTGTCGCGTAGTGCTTTGAAACTAGTGTAGTGTAGTGTAATGTAGTGTACGTAGTTGTAGTTGTAGTTGAGGTGTAGTTGTGGTTGTAGTTGTAGCTGTAGGGCTGTAGGGTAGTGTCGTGTTATGTTGTGTAATGCAGTTGTAGTTGTAGTTGTAGTTGTAGCTGTCCGTCTATCTATGTATCTATCTACCTATCTGCCTATCTGCAAGCTTGAAAACGAAGCTACCCTGCAAGACTTCCTCAATGTTTTAACTTGACGACATAGAAAACGCAGCAAGTCTGCAAGATTTCCTCAATATTTTACCTTGACAACATCAGCAACGAAGCAATTCTGCGACACTTCCTCGAGTTTCGAAGTTGACAACATCAAAAACTACGAAATTCTGCGAGACTTCCTTCAAAAATGGAAAGTTGCATGCGGAGCTGACGGCCTCGTACCAATGCGTTTTGCGATTTTTCCATTCCATCTGTCTAAAGTACTGCGCCTGCTACGAAAAAGTGAAGCAAGGTCATACGAAGTGCTGCGCCTGTCACGCAAAATCATCTTAGCAAACCTGAAGATCTGATGCTCCAAAATGCAACCCCTCTCAGGAAATCAGCGCCCTGACTTCCTAACATCTGATGAACATGTGTTTTGTACTGCGCTTGCCACGCGAAATGCATCTTTGCTTTTGCACATTTTGACTTCCAAATGTGCTTCGTGCCACAACGGCGCGCAATTTTTCATCTCTCATATGACCACATGGCTCCGCACCCGTCGCTTTAGCGAGCCTACTTTTCGACCCCCGGAGCCACAAATCATTGGAAAAACACCGAGTTTCGCGTGTTTCGTGACTTTCCTACCTTTTGGCGCACCTGCATCTTCTTTCTTCTCACTCTTTCTCTTCTCTGATCTTCTCTCTTCTGCTCTTCTCCTCTCTGACTCTTGCCACCTCTGCTTTTCCATCGTTGTCGGAAGTTTGACTTCTAAACTTCCTTCGGATATAACCCCCCGATGTTTGTTGGGTTATGGGCCTGGGCCATAACCATGGTGAAATCTGTCCACTTAGTTCATTGCCTTGGGGTTGGGGCCAGCCCGGCCCTATGGGTCTTTGGCTCAGGATTATAGATTACTGCTTCCTTTGGGACAAAGGCTGGCGGCTGAAATCCGGCAGATCTTTCCAGCAAACTGGGAATTTCCTCATTTTTCTGGAGGTTTTTCCGAGAAAATAGAAATCATCACGATAAATGTGGGGTTCTTTCCATTGCCACCTTTGATTGCTGGAAAGTATCTGGGTCTTCATTCTAGCAATTGACTATTCCAACTTCAGGTCAACCAACCCCCCTCAGAGGGAACCCCCAATAATCAGGCTTCCGTCGTAATCAAACATGGCAAGTGGAAAACCCTCGTGAAGAGCTAGTTTGATGGGAACAAAACAATGATGTTTTTTTGTTCAATGCCATGTTTCAGTACCATCTGTTTGGGGGCTGTTTTATCATAATTGTCCAGACCTCCCCCAGCCCTTCTTTGAGCTGCCTCTGACCGATTCTTTGAAAAAACGCACATCTCTGCAGCACCAGTTCTTTTTGGAGCAGAACTGTCCAATTTTGATGGTTTGCACAATGCTTTCAATCGTTGGATGTGGGGTTGTCCGAATCCGATGGTCGAGAATCATTCTTCTCATGAAAATTGCAAAAAATGGGACATACGGGTACGCCGCTATACCCCAAATTCACCGGCTAATCATCATATTTTGACACATTCCCCATTGCAATGCTATTAATATTGCAATTGCCATAACTTGGGGTAGACCGCTTACATTCCCATGATTTTCCCGTGATTTCATATCTTGGTGAATATTCCATAATTTGCATTGATCCATTGATCCGCTACATGAAGTCCAATCTTTGTGGGGTAAAAATGGTTGAATTCTCCGACGGTTGATTGGAACACGCCGATTTTTCACCGGTTTCTGATGGTCCAATGTCACATGTTCACCCTTTTCAAGGAAAATCTTCACGGGAAACCATCGATTTTCCCACATCGAAACTGGAAACCATCGATGTTCCCCATGTTTTTATAGGGTTTTCCGGTTTCGATTTTCCCACCAATCCATTGACCTTTCTGCAGATTCCCTGCGCCGCCGTTGGCGGCCGCCCTCCAAAGTGTCGCTGCGGCAGCAGCTGGGCGCGACGGCGACGGCGGTGCCCACGTTGCTGCGAGGAGGGCACTGGCCCTCAGCTGCTTGGCTCCGGGATTGGGGAGGACTTACTTGGTGGCTGAAACGATAGGGATTTTCCAGGAAAAATTGCGCGCTCAAGAATGGAGAAGAATTGATATTTTTCAGCAAAATTGGGATTTAAGTTTCAAAAGGGTGAGGATTGGGATTTAAAACGCCATGAAAGATGAAAAACAATGGTGGTTTAACCATCAAAAGTGAGGAATGATGGAGATTTAACCATGAAAAATAAGGACCTAGCCAATGAATGGGGATTTAAACCTTAAACCAAAAACATATGGTGGTATAGTGAGACATAATGGGGATAGATCATAATGGGATTTCAATTGAGGATGTACGTCTAAATTGTGGCACAGTGGGATATAATGGGCATACAATGCCAAAAGTTGATGGGCTAAGTTTTTCCACATTCACGTTGGATTCATATTTGTTTTTGCTTGGTTGATGAGCTAAGTCTTATTGTTTTTGACTTATTTTGATGGGGAACATCATTAGAACTCACCAACCAGCTAAAAACCAAAGAGGTTCTGACATGTTGTGAGGAGTTATGATAGATTAGCCATGATGACGGATAGTCTTTCAGTGCAAATTTTGGGTCCACAGTCCTGCCTTCGCCCTTTGGTCAAGTGGATGACCAAGGATCACTTCCCTGTGGCGGTCGACCTTGTTCTTACTGCCCAGTGTTTGCAGTGAACAAAATGCGGCGACCAGGGGTCACCAGGGGTCCGATGCACCACAGGACAGGGGTGAATTTAGAACGAGCTTACCACAGCATTACCGGAGATGATGGCGAGTAAGATCAACTGCCAGCCAGGTTTGAGACCACTAGTCATTAGATTCATTAGACATCGATGTTAATTATATATGATTGTCATGTCATTAGTGTATGTTTCAACCAGATAACGATCTCATCTTTCAGGCGGGTGATCTTGAAAATAACTGACCCAGTCCTCACAGTAGCTGCGGGTTGTCACAACTCCCAGGATTCAGACTGAGGTACCCAGTGATCGTTTTTTTCTTTTGAAGGGTTCAAACCATTCAAATTTGTCAACAACATCGAATTTCAAGCATGCAAGATCCAAAAATTATATCCACCATTATCTTGTAAAAACCACACTTTGCACAGTAGATGAGATAAAACCAATTATCAGCGCCAAAACTACGCATCTAATCTAATGCACAAACTTGGAATTTCTTGCGACACACAATGAATTTGGGCGGGGGCGAATTTTCAACAGGACCCAAAAGACAATGGTTTGAAACAACTAGATTCTAGATTTTGCTTTGAAACAGCCTCACAAGCCTCACAACCAATATGTTTGTCGTTCCACACCCTTCAACGTTTCATTTCCAGCAATGAACCGCCACGATGCGTCCTTGTTCGGCAGCACGTCTCGGTGTGCGGGACCGAGTGGCGCTGAGCAATGGGTCAAAACCTATAAGGGTGTCATACATTTGGGGATCACATCCACTCCCAGCTGTTTTGATGTGAACAGAAGGGGTTTTGGATGGTTTAGATGATGCGATGCAACAGAATTTGTGGGCCATCATGATCATCACAAATAACGATTTTGGCACTTTCATCATCACAGATAGCGATTCCAGAATGGCAACTTTGGACTTCACCAACAAAAATGGCTTCTCTCTCTCTCTATATATATATAAAATCATCTTACGAGTTTCCCCCAGAAAACCAGGTAGGTTAACCCCCCTGTAAGGACGTCTGTTTCTAGAGAAAAAATATGCATGGGAACATAGAGGCTTTATGTAACAACCCCCGTTGGTTCTAGAGAGCATTTTTTTTATAAGTTGTAACCTATCATACTCGTATGGTCATACTTTTCTAGAGGCCCAAAAAACGGATTTTGCGGATAAAATTTCACATAACTTAGAGAGGTAAGAGTGAGCTTTTCTAGTGGCCCAGGTTTTCTAGAGCTGTTCAACATTGTTCAATACTGCAACACTAAGGAGTCAGATTGTGATTTTCTTGTGGGTCCTGGTTTTTTAGAGGTAGACAATAGTGTTCAGTACTGCAACACTAAGGAGTCAGATTGCGATTTTCTTGTGGATCCTGGTTTTTTAGAGGTAGACAATAGTGCAACAGGCAAGCTCCAGTATATGTCTGGAATTTTCTAAATATCATCTATGAGGAACCAAATATATGAAATTTTCATTGGACATGATTTTCTAGAAGTGTCTTTCTAAGCCCAAAGCACATGTTCACAATCTTCTAGCAGGGTCCAAAATAGAGGGGGTGGTTTTGCTTGTTGGTTTTTGGTTTTTGTTGTTGCTCCAGCTGATGTATTCTAGAAAGATGCAGAAAGAATCAGAAAGATGTGGTATTTCTATGTAGTATTTATACTCAGTTCTAATGACTTGAGACAAGTCGGCGATAGGTGGCTGTTCCACTTGTCCCAAGTCATCAATTTTTTCCCCATTTTTTTTGACCAGAAACTTTCCCAAGTCATCAGCCCAAACTCACACCATCACAAGATTTGATAGTCTCCGAAAAAACGGCCGTCCGTTTTTCTGAGAGCCATATGTGATGAGTAAGTAGGAAACATGACCGCACATGACATGGGAGTTGTAGGTCTCAGGTGCATATGCAAAACTGCATCGCACTGCTGCTATTATTATCGACCTAAGTTGCCATTTGTCGCTATGGTTGCTGGTTTTAAGTCCATGGGGCGAACGCATTGCGACGACAGTGGGTCTTGTGGCTGAAACTAGTTGCCTTTGGGCTCAAAAGTTGAAACTTGGCATTAGGAAGATGGATGGTGATCAACAGCCCCGGAAGAGGTGTCGCGTGAAGACACCTGAAGGGAGATCAAGGAAGAGAGTCTGGTCCCGAGTTTGGTGTGGGCACATGAAGTTTAAAGTTAAGGGTGTGCACACACACACATATATATATATATCTCTCTCTCTCTCTCTCTCTCTCTCGGTCTTTCTTTCTCTCTCTCGCCCATGATTGTGGTGCTCTGGGCTCAGGCACCCAGTTGCCCTCTCCAACAAGTTGCGCGTGGGGATGTGCACAGCGATGGGCAGGCAGCCGCTTAATTGCAGAATCCCAAGCGTCAACAGCTTCATTAGTCCTATATTAGGGACCCGTGACTTAGGACTTAAGCCCAAGTCCTAAATCACTGGTGTTGGACTTGGTGCACACAAATCACCTGGTGCGAACACCAGTGATTTAGGACTTGGGCTTAAGTCCTAAGTCACGGGTCCCTAATATAGGACTAATGAAGCTGTTGACGCTTGGGATTCTGCAATTAAGCGGCTGCCTGCCCATCGCTGTGCACATCCCCACGCGCAACTTGTTGGACAGGGCAACTGGGTGCCTGAGCCCAGAGCACCACAATCATGGGCGAGAGAGAGAAAGAAAGACCGAGAGAGAGAGAGAGAGAGATATATATATGTGTGTGCACACCCTTAACTTTAAACTTCATGTGCCCACACCAAACTCGGGACCAGACTCTCTTCCTTGATCTCCCTTCAGGTGTCTTCACGCGACACCTCTTCCGGGGCTGTTGATCACCATCCATCTTCCTAATGCCAAGTTTCAACTTTTGAGCCCAATGGCAACTAGTTTCAGCCACAAGACCCACTGTCGTCGCAATGCGTTCGCCCCATGGACTTAAAACCAGCAACCGTTGCGACAAATGGCAACTTAGGTCGATAATAATAGCAGCTGTGCGATGCAGTTTTGCATATGCACCTGAGACCTACAACTCCCATGTCATGTGCGGTCTTGTTTCCTACTTACTCATCACATATGGCTCTCAGAAAAACGGACGGCCGTTTTTTCGGAGACTATCAAATCTTGTGATGGCGTGAGTTTGGGCTGATGACTTGGGAAAGTTTCTGGTCAAAAAAAATGGGGAAAAATTGATGACTTGGGACAAGTGGAACAGCCACCTATCGCCGACTTGTCTCAAGTCATTAGAACTGAATATATTCTTAACAATACCTAGGTATAATATAAAAGTATAATATATGCCATTCGGATGACATAGGAGTTGTGGAAACTGTTTTGTGTTTTTGATTTTTTGTGTGGCATGTTTTAGACTGATGACATAGGAATTGTGAAAAAACAGAACAGATCACGCATGACCTGACATCACTAAATCGGATCCTTCTCAATTGGCATGAGGTGCGTGCAACTCCTACATGTTTTCAAATTATGCAACAGGATTTGCCAAAACCCAAAAAGGGTCAAACATGACCTGACATCACTAAATGGGATCCTTCGCGCAACTCCCACATGTTTTGGAAATGATGACATAGGACTTGCCACAATCAAACAAGGGTCACGCATGACCTGATATCACCTCATGGGGTTCTTATCAATTGACACGAGGTGATGAGGTGTGCACAATTTCAGAACGTGCTAAAATGATGACATAGGATTTGCCGAACACCAAAAAAAAGGATCAGACACTACCTGACATCACTAAAATTGAACAGGGCCCTTCTCAATTGACACAAGGTGTGCACAACTCCCGCATGTTTTGTTTGAAAACGATGACATAGGACTTGCCAAAGGCTGAAAAATATCAACTGACACTAGACGCGCGCAATTCCTGCCTGTGCTTGAATATGATGACAAAGGACTTACCACAAACAAACAAAGATCACGCATGACCATGCATGACCTGCATCCCTGACACGAAGTGCGCACAACTCCCAAGTCATGCATTTTCTCTCTTCACGGTCTTAGGTTTCCTGATGTACCAACCTGCTGGCAAACCAAATTAAGAATTCCCAGGTCATCCAGTTTTGCTCACAATTTGGCATGATTTGATGTGCAATGCTGGATAAGCATGGAATCCTTCATCCACCAAACATACACACAAGTCCTGAGTCATCCACACAGCAATAGCGCCATTCCACCCTAAACCATCCCCAAAAAACGTTCGTCCGTTTCTAGTTCAGGTGCATGTTTTACATATGAAAAAACATGACATGAGACATGTGTCCCAGAAACAGTGACATGTCCTGTGTCACCAAGGAGCTCTGATGTGATGTGTATGTCACAGGCCAAACGCACTTTTCACGCTAAGGTCCCAAGTCTCGGCGAACAAACTTTGTGACGACTTGGTTTGTCCTATGTCATCATCTTAAAACAGGCAAAAAACAGGCTTCCACAACTCCTAAGTCATCAGAAGTGAGTATATATGATTTTAATTGATTTTATATGTATTTATGATTATTTATGTGTATTTATTCAATTTTATTGAGATTTACCAGATCTATTCAGATTTTATCAGCGTTTTATTTGATTCCAATTGGTTTCAATTGATTTCATATGACTTCATCTGACAACTGTTGAATTTCGGCTGGCAACTATTGGGTAGGATGACTGGAAATATTGCTGAGAGATGTTGAGACTTTTGCCAGCGGAAAGGAAAAAATCGAAAAAATCGAATTGGAAAAATCATGAAAAATCGAAGAAATCGATTTTTTCGAAGCTGCTGCTGTGGGAGAAACTGGGTGACATTCGAAACACCATGTCCTCTAGAAAACCTGGACTTGTAACTCGGTAGTTGGTTTCTATGTCCGCATTTTCCGCAGTTAGGATCCTACCTCAGATGTCCGCGCATGATATTCTAAGGAAAAATGAGCCTACCATAGTGGAAAAATGCATTTTGGTATGCGTATGATTTTCTAAATGTGGTACTGTTATTTTGTGGTCAGAGTGTGCTTTACTATTTCCGTTAACTCAGGACCCTTCATTTTCTAATAGAAAAGGAGGGGTGCCTACCTACCCTGGTAAACTCGTACCGGGATTATATAAATATACACATCATATCCGGGTATAACCCGTAATTTATTGCAATGGTGCTCATGGACATATCTCTGCAAATTGTCGTCGACCATCCAGCTGTACAGGCCATGGGTTTTGACCCATAGTTTATGTAGCAATTGGGCAATTGGGTTTATATATCTCCACATATTTAATACAATGATTGGGATAGGGGTTTAGTGAGGGCGACATTCAGACCATTGACATTTCCAAAGTCATTGGTCAAAGCACACGTTTTCCAAGGTCAGATTTCCTCGCAGCCTGTGTCCGGCTTCAGGGACACCCAGCTTTCACCAGATTAACTTGGCATATCCTGGGCTGGAGATGGTGAGGACCGGTTGAGAATTCACGGATTTGGCTTCACGATATCCCAAAATGGCAACTTCAAAGGGGATTTTGGGTGTTTCAAGCATCAAATTTGTGGAGTACCGCATTTTAGGCCCAGCATTCCTTTCTTCAAAATGATGTGGTTCGGGCATGGTTGGCGAATCAAGAGACTTCTGGACAAGTCATGTCGGAGGTGCAGCTTTGCTTCGAAAGCTCTTCGATTTTCATCCTTGCTGTCCTTATAATGTGAATCCCAAAATAACCAACCCCCAAAATCAAATAAAACCATTACATCTTGAATCTTGGTCTTATCAAGTCTTATCTAAACCATCCCACAATTCAATATTGGGTTGCCCGCATCAACGTAAACCCAGCCGCGGCCGTCTTGCCGGCGCAGGAGCCAGCCGGACATCTTCCTGGTGCACGACTTCTTCAGTGCCACGCAATGTGAGCGGCTGATTCGGAAGGCACAACAGGGTGATGCCATGGTACCTGCCGGGGTTGCTTGGCAGAGATAGCGTAGTGGGCCCTATTTTGGAGAATGTATTAACAATGATACTGATAACTAAGAATAGGCAACACTAGTAAACAATGGAGAGAGAGAGTAAACATAGTATCATCAGAATGATAAGAAGTTGACTAGTACTAATTACTATGAATGTTTGGATGTCCTTCCCTTCTGGGAATTCGTCACGCACTCCCCAAAGAACCGGTTTGTCTGACAATAGGGCACCCTTCAACCCACTGGTTTATCATCACTTTGCCTATTACATAGCAATCTTTGGGCTATACCGGTATACCCCACTTACGGACACACCAAACTACAATGATTAGTTGGTTCAGTCCTTATTTTTCATGGTTAAATCATGTTAAATCACCGTTTCTCAGCATTTTTCCATAGTTAAAGCAGCACTTTTCCAATTTTTTTCCCCTCCCTGGCTGAGTCATCTGCCTTTCAGGTCTTCAGCCCGCAAGGCTTGAAACGTTCCGAGTCGCGTACCAGTTCCCAGTGCTTGTGTCCGCAGAGGGAAGTGCCCAGCTTGCTGCACAAAGTGGTGGCACCTTGGGAAAAAAGGTCAGGAAGTTGGGAGAGATTTTGGCAGAATTTTGATGTAAAGCAAGGGCAAAACAATGCCGTAAACCAATGTAAACCAGCCATTTGGGAATGGTTCAAAAACAACCTACTGTATATATAAAAATGATGATTTGGGGGATGGTTTATGATTGTTGTTACCCACATCACAGTACTGTTCGTGTAAGTCGAAAGTCGATTTCGAAGTCATATAGTCAATGATCATCAGTGTCGTCATCGTCATCGTCTCCATCTCCGATTTTGGGTCAAATCCTTGGGCCCTGTATCAGCCATCTTCCCTTTACAACGCCCTAAAGGAGGTTTTGAGACGAAAACCTTCTGCTTTGTTAACCCTGGTTCCTTCAAAAACTCTTTACAAATGCTGCCACGCGCAGATGTGTCAAAACCTATCATTACCATTCATTACCATTCATTTGGGGTCTATTTGGGTTTTCACCACGATACCAGGTTTTTTTTCCACCCCAAGCCACATCAGTTACGAGGAACTGCTGGGATGTCCTTCACGCCACCTCGAAGCCTGCCAAATTATTCGCTACGAGGCTGGGATTGACACGACAACCATGGATGTGTTGAATAAATCATGTATTGGCACCCATGCATACATATACAATCATATGCCCTCTGGTAATTTAACACAGCTATTGAAAATGGCCATAGAAATAGTGGATTTACCCATTGAAAATGGTGATTTCCCATAGTTATGTTAGTTTACCAGAGGGTACACACAAATAGGAAGAGATCAAGAGAGAGAGAGAACCTCAGCACCCCGTCCCAGGCCGGGCAATTCTTTGCGCCGCACGGTGATTTCAGCAGCAACGGCACGAGATCCAGTGCGGGATTTGTGGATTGCGCGCGCTTGGCCACCCTCTTCGTTTACCTGAATGATGTGGAGAGAGGTCCGGGGCCCCAAGGGCTAAGGGTTTGAGTCACTCCCCCAAAGATAAGTGTTTTTTTCAGTCCTTACAAAGGTGGTTGTTGGTTAAAAGGCCCTAATGTCAACCCCGGATTAATAAACCCCAAACGGCTGTTTAATTGGGCGGGTACCATTTAAGTATCATATTGTGACTATTGGAGGAGTACCCCCCTAATTAATACACCATGGTTTAGTCTCATCCGGGGTTGACATTATATATCATGGTTATTATTTATGGTGGTATGGTTAATATAACAATTATTAACAGTATCCATGACCATTAGGCCCTTAAACCACTATCACTTATCATTATTTTACGGTTTGCCGGAAATCACCAGTGGATTTTTGAAGTTCCAACCATTTTGGTGCCTGAAATCCAATTCTGCGGTAGAAAAACACCGATTTTGTGGCCCAAAAAAACACAAATGCAACTGGGAAACAGCACTTTTAAAATGGTCAAATCCCTTGTTTTTGAGGTTCTTGTTGCATATACCCTCTGGTTATGACTAACAGTTTGCCATGGTATAGATGGCTCATAGAAATAGATGGTTTACCGGTTTTAAAAATGGTGGATCTTTCCATGGCTATGTTAAATAACCAGAGGGTAATATGTTTTTGTAAAGGGGGATGGGATTTGTTATACATCACATCCAGATTTGTGGACGAGGTGGCAAGTCCGACCAGCGGGGCACACGCTGTTCGCAATCAAATCATGATTCATCCATTCATTGATTCATCCGTTCATTCAATTCAAAAAAATGCAGTTCACTTCACTTCAATTTCATTTCATTCATTCGTTGACCATAAATTGGCACTTGAAGCACCAAGCTCTGCAGGGTGGTGCCCCCGAGTATCCCCCAGTATCCCCGATAGTTGCCATAGTTCGCAGGCCAAGGGGGCCTCACCTTCGGCTTTAAACACTTAGCTAACTATGGTTAGAAGTCCAAGAGCTATCAAGAACTATCATGAATGATCATTAACTTAGCTGATTAATAGCTCAGTTGGATCATGGATGATTTCCCTAACCCGGTTATTTTATTTCCACAAAGGAAGCCGAGTGAAATCTCATCATCCCTAGTGGCCCCTGGTGGGCTCCAGCTGCCTTGGGCCCTCACCAGGTGGTGAAACCGACTTCCCCAATGCTGCGCCGCCGCTGCGAGTGACGCCCAGCAGAGGCGATCTTTCGTACCGTAGGGCCCCGATATTTGCAATGGAAAATGGTCGGAGAAGAATGGGATATTCACGGATCATGGGATGATAATTTGGGATATTAGTGGGATCCAAAAAAGGATGAGAATGGGATGTTGATGGGAGAACTATGGTTTTTTTTCATGGATCATACTGGGATAAATCCATGGGATATTCATAGGATTTTCCAGGCGATGTGGACCCCCATTTATGGCTGCCATTTTAAACAGTTGCCTTGCCTTGACTGAGAAAACGGTACAGGATTATGATGGGGATTATGATTTATCATGTATGATATAGTGGATCGTAGTAATGCATTATGATGAGATACTTGGGACTATTTTGGTTCCATAGTTGGATTAGAATGATCTGGTAAACATAGTGGGAGCATGAGGGATGATAAAGGAGCAGTCATTTCACAGTTTGCTATGGAAAATGGTCCAATTTTCATAGCGAAATGGTGAATTTCCCGGTGGATTGGAAGATGATTAAGGGGGATCTAACTATAGTGGGGTAAATCCAAAATAATCTAAAGCAAACATAGGGGGTCTAACCTTAAGTGAACAACTGGGCCTCACCTTGTATATTGCTTACCTCCCAACCATCTGGTGTGAAGAACCGACATTTCCACAGGCCTCGCGGTGGTTCACTTCCCCGCCAGCCTGGATTATGTGTCGGATGCACGGCGGACCAGGTGGGAGCGGCTTGCTACGCTATGAATCGCCTATGAATTCATGGGGATTAATGGGGATCAATACGGGTTGAACCTGGTTGAACTCACAATGGGGACATGATGGAATCTGATGGAACATGCTATACCTTGGATTTGACCATGCTATACCTGTTTGTCTTGTTTTTGGGGTATGCTTAGTATGTTTCAACCGCGGTCGTTCCTTTCCATCATCCCATCATCCCAGGCATCAGAGCCTCCCCGCAGTGGACGAGAAATGGATCTTCGCCACCTGGATGTGGAGCGGGCCCCGCAGCCAAAACCTGGAGCTCCTGCGGCAGCTGGGACGAGGTCGATGGGATCTGGCGAAATGCCATAACGACCGAAGCCTGTTCGACCTCCGAGCCCTGGAAATCATGGTTTATTTTAAAATCATCCCCTTTTATGGCCCAACAATTCAGGTTGGTGAAATATTATTTTTTTACCCAGATGGGATGATGTTGGGAGGTTGGATGATGGTGATGTTGGGAGGGTTGATGGATGTTGGATGATGTTAGGATGATGTTAGCGATGGCACGTCATCTGAAATATTCCCCTCAGAAGCACCACTTGGTAAAAGTTTAGTATTGGATCTGTTCATTTTGGCTTCCCACATGTATTTACCCTCTGGTAAACATTTACATAACTATGGAAAGATCCACCATTTTCAATGGGTAAATCCACTATTTCGACTGGGTCATTTTCCAGTCCGCAAACTGTTGACATAACCAGAGGCTAACATGAGGGGATGGGACTAAGGTCCAAGAAATCTGCCAGTGATCCCAGTCGACCCCGCCGGAGGTTACAGCCATGTTTGGCCCGAAAGCTACGACCCGCTGAGCACCGATGTGATCTGAGGAAAAAGGGGCCGATGGAGGGCTTCAACCTAAAATGTGGCCAAGACTGGAGATGGTTCACTGTTTTTTTTTTCTAACCAACTATATAACTAAGGAACAAACGAACGAACGAACGACCTAACTAACTAACTAACTAACGAACGAACTAACTAACTAACCAACCAACCAACCAACTAACTAACTAGCTAACTAACTAACTAACTATTTAACTAAGTAACTAACTAACCAACCAACCAACCAACTAACTAACTAGCTAACTAACTAACTAACTAACCAACTAACTAGCTAGCTAACTAACTAACTAACTAACCAAGTAATTAACCAAGTAACCAAGTAACCAAGTAACCAACTGACTGACTAACTAACTAGATCACTAACTAACTAGATAAATAATAAATGAATAAATAAATAATCAAACAATAAGATAGAGATATATATATATGCACACACACGCACACACACACGCACCTCATCCCCTTTTTATGAACATCAGGATTTTGATCCTAGGCCCAGAGAGGAGAGAGATAAACTAAGCTTGGCATTCTCCTGAAACTGGCCATCTCACTGCAATGCCAGGCTAAAAAGTCCTTTCGTCTTTGAAGGTAGATTTCATTCATGTGGCAAAGCCAATTTCACAAACTATCCCCATTCATGGTAGGATTTCTGCCAAGGCTTCCCAACAGTCCCCAGTAGCAGGTGGCCCTACGTCTACTGGAGATGCTGCTCAGCCGTTTCCGACTGCAGCCGGATCTCTACAGCAACTCAGCTGGAAAGGAGGCTTTTAAGGAGGAAATCATCCATCAATGGGGGATTGTCCATTGCCATGACTAGCAAATATGGAAGTCCAGCGTCGAGATCAAGTGATGGCGGGAAGTAGCACCTCCCACTGGAAGATGTGACCAGGTCGTGAGACTCTCCAACAAATCCGGAGTCCTAGACCACCAAATTGAGGTTGTGAGGGGAATACCATGGGATACCCCTCAGTCTTCCTGTCTACCCTCATGTGATTTAACATACATAGCCATAGAAAATTACGCATTTGTAGATGATTTACCTATGACCTATGATTTCCATGGCCATGTTTCATGGCAAACTATTAGATTACCAGAGGGTAACCCATATTTTTCGGCTTCAACCAGTACGAAAACCAACAACATCACAGCTGCAACACCTTCTGAGACTGCATTTTGGTGTTGTTTTTTTTGCAATTCCAAATGTCTTTGAGCACCCTTTGGCAGGCTTCAACCTGGCTCTGGCTGCTTGCCGGGAGCAGTGGACTGTGGTGTTGTCACTACTCACCCAGTGGCGTCAAGGGTTGCTGGTGTCAAAGCTGAGGTGCCAAAGTTCCGGGTGGGATGGGTCTCTGGTAAATCTGCAAAAAGCGAACTGGAAAATTACAATTTTCAACAGGTAAATCAGCTATATATGGGTCATTTTCCATAGCATATGTTAAATTACTGGAGGTTAACACATTGTCACCATCCCATAGCAGATAACAGTAGTTAGATGTAGTTAGGCCTTCCCTAACAGTATGTTAACAACCAATCATGTAGTAATTAGCCTACCACATCAATATAATTGTTGTTAGTGATTCAACCGATCCGGGATGAGTTAGAGCCTCTGATACCATACCCGGGGTCATAGGCCTACCATTGGGTTTTGACCCATGGCCAGAATTTAACACATTTTAATATTTAACAATCCATTAAAATTAGAAGAAGTAGCAATGTCAAGTTGGCAAGTTGGACCTTAGCCATAATGTAACTAAGGTCAAGTGTCAACATTTGTGAGGATTTAACCAGGATTCAACCATGAAGATCCATGAAGGGGAAACTCCCGTACAGAACTTTGTCCAAAAGACAATCAGAATTGGAATTTAAAGTAGATATATCATATCTTCAGAGAGGAAGATGCTGAAGACATTTGCACCCAAAGATGGGGATACTTGAGGAGGTTTCCAGACGTCGACTGGATGGTGGAGGATTTTCGCCATAGCACTGCAGGTTATAGTCAAACACGGGTTCTATGTGTGTCATAAAAAATACTTCCTAACATCCAAGTCAAGTACTAGGTATTTTCCCGTCGTGATGTGAGATTGCCGGAGGCACTTTGAAAAGTTCTTGCCCCAACTCTCCTCGCAGACAGTCTATCTTGGTAGCATCTCGGGCCCCCCTTGTTTTAAACCCCCATGTTTGTTTGTTTGTTTGTTTGTTGGTTTGTTTGTTTTTGTTTGTTTGTTTTTGTTTGTTTGTTTTTTACCTACCGCTTTTTTAAAACCATGCAAACCCTTTTTTCTCACCCTTCCCAAACCTTCTCTTTTTAACCCCCCAGAACCCTTTGGTTTTAACCCCCGCACCTTTTTTTGACCCCCAGTCATTTTTTTTCACTCTTGCGCCTTTTTTCACCCCTCACCACTCTTTTCCAACCCCTCTCCGCCTCAGGGTGGGAAGGATTGGGCTTGCACATATGAGTCATCGCAAGTACAGGTACAATCAGGTACAAGATCCCGAGAAGAGATAATACTTACCTCTCAAGGCGCGGGCAGAAGAAACAGTCAGAGCTAGGAGTTGGATATTGCGAGACTTTGTGAAGGGTGTGGGGCAGGGGGTTGTGAAGTGGTTTGGCCGCTGGCTGATTTTGTTACGTGGCTTGCAGTGAAGAAAGCGAGGGTGATGATGGGCGGCATTGAAGGAGTGGATTGTGAGCCTGGGGTGACACAGGATTGGCATTGCTGAGGTTCAGGCAGGTTTGTCGCGTGACATTTGCCTCTGCCAGCTGCTACCATGGTTTGCAGCCGCGAGCTCATTGCAGAACATGGGCAGCAATGCCAGAGCCGGCTTCTTGGATCTTTTGGAGAAATTCGGAAGAAGAAGATAGGTCAGAGGCTTATCCTGTAAGCAGCTGTGGGAAACTTCAGCGCCATGGCTGCAGGTGCTTGCCCGCAGTTGGATTCGATGACTCTGCCGCACGCTTTGTGCGAGAAGAGGCGGCAAGAGGAAAGAGATGTTCAACGGAAGAGGCCAGCACCAAGATCTAACGAGCAACTTCGGTATCTTGCCGGCGTAGCTCTTCAAGCCTGGGGAGGCGAGCGTGGTTTGTACCAGAGAAGTTTGTGGAAAACACTTTGGTACGAATAATGGACGGGCGGTTTGGTTCGGTGATGTGGGGCCATGGGACGGTGGCTGGCAGGTGATGTGGCTCCACAAGAACCAAAAGATACCAAAAGTGCAAATTCCGAAGCCTCTAAGTGGAGTAGAACCAAAAGTACCAATCATCAGGTCGGAAACCTCCAGTAGCTAGATGACCCGGCAGATTGGAAGGCTTGAGAAGGTGGGGCAAGGAGGCCTTCTAGCGTAGAACCAAAAGTGCCAATCAGCAGCTGCGAAACCCGAATAGCTAGATGACCCGGCAGCTTGGAAGGCTTGAGAAGGTGGGGCCATGAGGCTGTGGTGGAACCGGATGGCAAGCAAAGCCTTAGTCCGCGGGCCCAGTTGGCCCCAGTAGAACCAAAAGTGCCAACCAGCAGAGGTGGGGCAAGGAGGCCTTGCTTTGCTACAGTCTCACATGGCGCAGAAGAAGTGTGAGGAAGCATGTGTTACATGCCTGCTGTGGCAGACGAATGAGGCACGGGAGTGTGGGTGGCGAAGTCATTGCCCTGTGGAAGCAATTTCTGTAAAGAGTTGGCTTGGGAGGTGGCGCACAAGAAAACGCAGGAGACTTTGCTTTGACCGTGTGCACAGAGGCATTGTGGATATTGTGGGGAAAAAGGCGGAAAGGGAATAACCTTCCACGGGCTGCAGGTGTAGGAAGAGGGAAAAAGAGCGAAAGTAAAAGAGGCTATATAGAGGGATGCTCCAATGCTGCGGTTGTCCTGCAGGGAAAAAAAGGGTCTGGGGGTTCAAAAAAAAGTGTTAGCCAAAAAGGGTTTGCAGGGTGAAGTTAAAAAAAAGGGTATAGGGGGGGAGAAAAAAGGGGAGCCCGAGATGGGGGGTAACACCCCCCTCTCCTGAGGTTGTGCACCCTCTAGCACTTTGTCCTCAAAAACCGACAAGTCTCGCTTGACAGTGAATTTTGCGTTGTTTCCCCCTTTGATAACAATGGATTTTCCGGCATTTCCCGTAGAAATACAGGCTTCGCTTGCCAGTTTAGCGTGGAGGCCAGATGTGGTGTCCTTCAATACGGCCCTGGCTGCGGTATCTTCCAGCAACCTGGACGTAGAGAGTTTAAGGTATTTGGTATTGGGTCTGAAGCGGGGCTTAAAAGATATCAAAATTATATTTGTTTGAAGATAGATGGCCAAGATAATGATATACACGTATTTTGTGCATGTGTATTTACATGTCCATGTTCTGCGTAGCTATATATATGTATAAATATATATATATGTATTATTATATATGCAATTATAATCAATTATATACACATGCCTCTCTCTCTCTCTCTACATCTTATGCGGAATCCGTATGATGGCGTTCTGTTTTGACAATGGCATGTGGCGATGGGTCAACACTTAGGACTTGCATGATTTACTTTCCAAATGTTACGGATAAGAGGACACACATATTTATACATATTTATACTGTTTTCACCAGTGTGCCAGCGCATTGATCCATATACTGGTATACCATGATTTAATTAATATACATCACCAAATTGGGGATATAGCCTCCAGTAAACCACTACAGATGGAAAATCCACCATGGGATCATTTTGTGACCAACTCATGAATTTTCATAGCTATGTTAGTTTGTATATTACAGTATGCCCTCCGGTAAACCAACATAACCATGGAAAATCAACACATCTAATAGGTCAATCAACTATAAATGGTCCATTTTTCATAGCAATGTTAGCTTAGAAAAGGTACATCATCGCGAGATCTGAGGTGGCGCGCCGGGGGATTGGACCTGTGCCATCGACTTACTGGAAACCATGAGTTCCTTGGAGAGTCGCAGAAAATGGGGGCTGATTTCGCACCACAAAATGCGGGAAAATTTCATTTTGGAGGATTTCACTGGCAGGAATGGATTTTGGAAACTTCTAACAGGCGGATCAAGGTTTGTTTTACTTGGGTCTTGGAGGTTGTGACATGAACTCAAGTAGTGTCCTAGTTTTGTTGGGACCTGAGCAGCCGACCGAGGAGAGGATCGTGTGCCTCCAGCCACTCAGACTGTGGGGGTGACTCCGTGATTGGCTGATTTTTTTTTGGGCTAAAAAAATCCTGGGAATTCCAGGTTTGAACATATAGTGACTAGTGACTCATTGCCCATTTTTGGTTTGAAGGTGGGGGTAGTCGGTCACATCACGCAATCGACACCTGGCATAGCTTGTAATCAGTGTAATTCACACAAATGTAAAATGTGAAACAAACATCTTGGAGATTCCTACGGTATTCTTGGGATGGATTATAAAACCACCAGTCGGATGCGTGTTTGTCTCAAAACAGGGATGCTTCAAAATTGTCATCAAACCATGTGGAAAACACATTTCCTCAACCAAATCGAAATTATCCAAAATTTAAGGTGCGCCATGCTGCCGTACCCTGTCAGACAGAGAGACCATCACTTTCTAGTTACGATCGCTTCACCATCAAACATATCCGATTTGCACCATCTCAAACATCCCAAACCATGACATTGTAACTCAGCCAGATCTGCATTTCAAACATCATCTATTCAATGGACATGGCCGGTCATCATAGGAATCATAGGTTTCACATAATTATCCAGGTAAGGCCAGCCCTGGATTACCAAACTCTGTTGGTTAATTACAGGGGGGTTACCCCAAAACATCCCAAAACACAGCGATGAATCACTGAATTGCTTGGGGGTCGAATCTTAAGAGGTGGTGTCCCCCAGTTATGTTTGGTTTATAACAGCTATCGGAGTTATGTCCAACTTGGCTATATTGGGGCACGTGTCCCTACGTATAGTGATGGAGGTGTCCCCATTGGGCCCAACAAGTTCGTTATAAACCAACCCTAGACATTGAAGCCATGTTCACCACCTTAGCTAACCAACTGGGGCCCCAGCCATTATTCAATGTAAGAACCATATGTGGATGGGTCGAAACATGTCAAAACCTATTAGTTTACCAATATTTGAGGGAATACCCATCCATGGTCAAAACCTATTGTTTTACCAATATTTGAGAGTTAATAACTATTAAGATCACCAATATTTGAGGGTTAATAATTGAATAACCACCCATAAACCAGCTATTTTAGCCATATTTTTACCATCTGGTTATGACTAACAGTTCGAAAGTTGGAAAGATCCACCATTTTTTTAGGTTCGCTGAACCATCTATTTCTATGGGCCATGGCTTAACCATGGCTGGCTCTGTTAGTCAGGATCTCCAGAGCTACAGCCGCGCGCTGGACGCCTGCAGTGGAGCACGGCGTTGGGAAGAAGCCCTGGGATTGGTGCAGGACGTGGCGTCGATGTGGCGTCGTTTTGGGGGCCAAAGAGTTTGATATGTTATGACTGTTATGATATAAATGATTAGTAATAATAATAACAGTGATATGGCAATAATAGTGATTAGTAATTATATGTTCTGATATGGCAATAATAGTGATTAGTAATTATATATTATATTATGTAATGAACAGGATGGTAATAGCAACAATAGTAATAGTAAATAGGTGATTTTCCATGGCGAACTGTTAAATAACCAGATGGTAATAGCAATAATATATAGTATATAATAGTGATTTTCCATGGCTATGTTAAATAACCAGATGGTAATAGCAATAATAGAAATAGTAAATAGGGGATTTTCCATGGCTATGTTAAAAAAAACAGATGGTAATAGCAATAATAGTAATAGTAATGATAGTAAATAGGAATAGTAATAGTAATAACAATGATAATGATAGTAATAACAATAACATATATATATATATATGCACTATAGTTTCGAAGGTGATCTCGATTGATGTTTGAACATATCCATAGACTTTAAACATGATTTTGATGGATGTATATGGATGTTATTTTTTCCCCGGGATGTGCTCAAATCATACTTCACGGTGATGTTGTTTGATTTTTGTTGCGGTTGTAAGCTATACTTCATCATACTTCACAGTTGTTTTTCGTTTTGTTGGAGGGGACCGATTTTTTTTGGAGGTCCCACCTCCCATTTTTTTCATACCCCCCAGTCTTGTTTTCTTCATTCTTGGGAACTGGGGTGAAACTTCAGTGAACCATGGTGACCTTGATTGATATTTTGGTGATGTTGACTCTTTATTGGGGTCATTATTTTATTTTACGCGGAGCTGGGTTGCAGAAGAAATAGAGGCTGTGCTCCTTTTGTTTGTTGTTCTGGGTGGTTCTGGGTGGTAGATTTCCCCAACTGGGTTGAACAATATATTGAGCAGCGGAACTAGAACTGCCGGTGTGAAACAGCGCTGGAGAATTGTTGGGCATTATGCGTGACCTCTCTCTCTCTCTCTCCCTCTCTCTCTTTTGCACGGTGCTAAAAGCAGCTTCATTAAAGATTCATGGGTATTCAGCCCACTGAAATGTGTGTGTGTTTTTTTGAATAATGTTTTTCCTATAAATAGATCGTTAAGATTCACTCTTATGAAGGTGGTTGGCTAGACTTGGCTAACCAGCTAGGATCGGCTGGCCCTGGGGCTGAATCGCCGACAAGGACCTACTGCAGCAGAAGCTGCTGCCAGATCTTCAGACTGTGACGGGAGTGGCCAGCGTCTGCAGCCATGCCGGTGAATGGTGTGGAAGCTCAGTGGGCCCGTGGATTTCTTGATAGGATGGACATTCAGAACTTTGATCCAGGAGCTACCCTCTGGTAAACAAACATAGCTATTGAAAATTGCCCATTTATAGTGGATTTTCCCATTAAACATGATGAATTTCCATGGCTATGTTAAATAACCAGAGAAGGTAAACAAAATGTAAAGTGCATGAGATAAAGTTGTTCTTCATTGCACAGGGTGGGTCTTGCAGTTACCGAGTATAAAGGGGTTGCTTTTGGCGTAAGCCCTCCACGGGTATCAGTCGAGGCAATTGGCCCTAGCCTTTGCCAACGAACAGCGCGACCAACGCCTGCTACCTGATGGGCTGCTCTTTGGCCCGGGGGCACGGAGTAAAAAAAGAAACAGAACCGCGGGTTGGGTGGCCACGGTTGCAGTAGGAACTCAGTGAACATTGGTTGCATTTCCTCACCCGAAGGTTTAAAATCCTGGTTTCTTGACAGTTCGCATTGCTCAAGATATCGAACGTTTTGCTATAGATTTTTTCCTTTAGACACCAACCCCTATTAAATATGATTCCGGGGCGGGTCCAATACCCATGGCCCTGTTAGTGTTTTTGGCCCTGCGACAAACCATCCAAGTCCCTGCGAGGCACCTTGCTCCTGGCTTGCGAGAAAGGGTTGAACTGGGAGCTTGCCCTTGAGCTCCTTGCAGACATGTCAGACACCTCAGTGACACCTTAGTGAGCCATGGAAGTCGAACATGAAGTGAATGGGGTTCCCCATCGCTGGGCACGAAAGTCCGCTAGATATGGGACAAAAGTTGTGTAAAATGTTAAACGCACAGATGCGCACGTGTAACAATATATATTATACACATGGTATCATACTATATTAATTTATATTAATATAGAGGTCCAGTTTTGCGTTTGGCAGGCACCTGGTGAACAGGCGCCATTTCTTGTGTTTGTGTGCATTTGATGCCTGTTCACTCACGCATCCCAATTGTTGATAGTTGTTGGGGGTTGCCCACCCAGCGTTTTGCAACGCCATATCCTATGCTTATCAGCCCTTTCTGAAATGCAATGTTTCGGAAGTGTTCTTGTTGCAAAGGCACATCCAATGAAGGGTTCAACAGGTCTCGGCGCTTGCAAGTAGCTTCGCTGCGCGTAGTTGCTCCAAAGAAAGCAGTTGAAGGTCATGTGTTTTTCGATTTCGTCGAATCAATTCGAACCAATGAGTATTGAAATATTTGCCATTTGCATCAATTTACAATGATAGTGGCTCCCAAGCTTGAGATGTTAGACATTGCCAGACATCTTTCCCAATGCACGCCTTTCCATTCTGCAGGGAAAGGTCCAGTGTTCCACTGGATCCCATTAGTTCTGCCCTTGCGGGGCGCCTCAAGTGCGGCGAGTGGGAGTCTTCGGGTTTCTTGACGTGGGGGAACAGTCGAAGACCTTAAATGTGGTGACCAATTTTGATAAATTTTGTAGGTTTGGAAAAGCAGGGGTTAAACCCCTGAGTTTACTGTCTACAGAGTCTACAGAGTCTACAGAGTCTACTGATGTCTACTGATGTCTACTGATGTCTACTGTAGATCTACCCGGAATCCAACCCAGCCACGCCAGGCCATACGAGCGTGTGCCACCCGGAATTCCTGGGACTTGGCCTTGTGGGTCTTGGCAAAATGCCGGGGCGCTCAGGGCCCTTCTCATTTGGAGGCTACGACTACAGCTCCAAGGAGCTAGAACGATAGTGATATCCTTGTTGGTGCTTTCGATCCATCATGAAGCTCAATTCAAGTCGGCTCTTTTACTTGAGGAAAGGCACACCCTGCCCCTCGGCGAACCAGATGGTTTGCCTCTGGAAGATTGGGATGACACTCACCCAGCCCTCCAAGTATTTCCTTGAAATCTATCTTTGGATGGTAAAACCATGGTTTCCTACAACATCCCTCATAAAGTCAATCCATTGAGTAGCCAAATATCACCACTAACATTTGAATGGTTAAAACCCACAACAAACATATGGATTATCAGGGTTAACCCCCAATATTTGATGGTCAACCTCCGATTTTTCATGGTGAAAACCCAAATTTTAGATGGTAAAACTCTAAATTTCATCACCCGCAGGCAGTGCGGGAGGTGATCCCGGACCTCGTGCCTTGCTGGCGGCGGTGGATGCAGTGGAGGCACCACTTTTTTCATGGAAAAGTTGGATTTTGACCATGAAAAATGATGAACACATGGTGGTTTAACCAGCAAACATCTGGTGAATCTGAACATGATTGAGATTTAATCATGAAGAATGGTAAGCAATGGTAGTTTGACTGTGTTTGACTATTCAACGTGGGAATGTAAGTCATGAAGAATGGACATGGGTTTGTCGTGTTTGGTCATGGTTTGTCCAGAAATGGGGTATACGCCCCAATGGTCATTAATTGATGGGGAATATGATGGTTTATTAGACCATTGTTTTATTTTTGTACCTTATTTTCAGACAAACCCTAACAAGAGATTGACGGATAGATCATGATAGATCGATAGACGTGAACAAGCACCCGCAAAAACACAGTTCAGCATGTGTACCAATGGAATTGCTATTCTCACAATTCGATGTTTACAAGACTACTAATGCCACATCATTTGGAGGTAGATCTACGTTGTTGGTTCTGTCCCCAGTTTTGTCGGAGATGAGGTATCCACCCCCAAAAAATCAGATCTCAGGGGTGGTTTTCAATCCAGAAGCTGTACGAAAACACGGTAGAGTTGTGTCATAAACCCATGATCTCCTGTCATTCTATATCATTCCATATAAAATCAGCTCGTAAACCCGAATTTTCTCCAATTGTTTGGCAAGATTTTTAGAAATATAACAGCTGGTTGTTCCATTGTGTGGCATTTTTACTTTATCCATATAAGATCAACTGGTTGTTCCATGGTTTCGAGGCTGGCGGCTCCGCTTCCCCAGAGCTCTTTGAAGAGCTCTGCCGCAGAGCGGCGCAGAGGCGGTATGACACGGGGGTCGGTGACATACACTGTGTGGTGTCTTTAAACAGATCTGATTCTAGATTCATTCTACCCTCTGGTAAACATACAAAAATCTATGGAACATCACCATTTTTGATGGGTAAATCAACTATAAATGTCAATTTTCAATAGTTATGATGTTAGTTTACCAGAGGGTAGATTCTATCTGATTCTGAAATGCTAGATTCTAATAGATTCTATATATCCCTCGGAACTCCGATGCAAAAAATCCAGTGATTTAAGGTTTATGAGTTTATGATCAAAATTACTGTTTTTTTGGATTGAACCCAAAAAACGACTCAAATGCCTGAAATTCATGTTGTAAGAGGCACTGAATATGAAATATGTAATTCACAGTGTTTCACCCACACCTCAGCCATTTCTGTTCACTTTCCCTTTCCTTACCGCTGCACCTATGTGCTTTCTAGGAGGACCAGTATTAATTATTTGATATGTTTGTGTGCATGGTGCATGCATGGACCATCATTTTTGACACATTTTGACAATGTGGGATTGAGAGCATATGTTTAGCAAAATCCTGCGACCCAAATTACCCGCAAAACGCCCGCAAAAATCTCGCAAACGCGCACAAAAACTGTCAAACACGATGCATTTTTGACCATGTGTGTGAAAATGAGTTCAATCGCTCTCACGCCCATTCTGTCTGTTTGAATTTACCAATTAAGCAGCACGGCTTGCAACCAAGGACTGAACCGCTATTATGGATTGATGGTTTCCTTATGGGGCAATCACGATGACCACAACCTGTTTCTCCATGTTTCTCCAAAGATCGCCTTGTTTTCATTTTATAACTTCAAATCGCTGCGCTTTTCTATGAAACGCCTCATTACCTTAAACGCCTGGATTTTTCCATGCAATGGAAACTTGAGGTCTGTATCTGTTGGTGATTTTATTGATGTGAAACATGTTTAAGCGTTTAAAATAACCACGGTTTCCCATTGAAAAATCCAACGATATGGAAGAAACCACTCCAAACTGGTCTTCGCCCTGGGCCGCCCTCCGCCGCCAGCTCGTTGTTCTCCTAACGCTGCTCGAGAAGCTGAGCAAAAAGTCGCGTCGCGAGAAGATCGCTGGAAGTTGGTGAAATTGGGTGATTTTCATGGTGATTCAATTCAATGATGATTTTATGGTATTTTAATAGGATGTGTATAACAATTTCGCGGGTAATTATTTATGGCATGTCATATGATAATATAATATATATATAATTATATATGGGATTATAGTAAAAAATTATCAATGGAAGATCCATATATGAGGTTTCCTGAAATGGTAAATCGTCCGAGTCATGGATTGCCATTTTAGTATTGAAGCCTATGGTGACTTGTCGGTCCCCGGTTTCCATATACTATGGAGATCTATGGAGATTTTTCGGACCTTCCACAATTTTGACTATTCGTTTTTAGGTGAATCGGATGATCAACTGAAAAGCGGGCGATTTCTCCATTGCTAGGAATATCAGAGATCAGGTGCAAGGTAAGATTCCCTAGTCTTGAGTTTTACAAGCCTTACGGCCTGTTTCTCCGCAGCTGCATGAGATCCATCGGTAGACAAAAGTCGTGCCGTGGCATTGCAGGGGAGGTCATGGACGATGGGCCGTCTATAGAGGTCCAGAAAATGGCGGCGACGGCAGGAGATTTTTGGGAACTCCACAAGCAGTTGGCCAATTGCCACTTGACATCGGGACATGATTTCCGGGTCCTGAAATGTCCCGAAACTGATGATTTGAGGTGCCCTTGCCGGCAGTGCCTTCAGTGCCGCTGCCGAGGCTATGTGGCCGACATTTCACGACTCAAAGGTGACCGAGTTCCCGAGAAAGCCAGCGACAAAGCCAGTGAGAAGCTGGGTGAAACAGCCAGTGAAAGTGTCGGTGGATCATGGTGGATCTGGTGCTGGCAGTGCTGGGTGAAAATTTGGGGGTGACATTTCCAGACATCTTTTTACTCTCCTATGGACTCCTACAGTGGAAATCCTGCACCCGTTGATGGTTTATCCCATTCATAGGGTTTCAACCATCCCAAATTGGTGGTGCAGGATTTCGCAACCATCCACAGTATGGATGTTTCATTTCCCATTGGACCTGACAGGATCCAAAAAACCGTGTGGGGGTGGGCCTTTCTTCGGGGTCAAATTATAACCACATCACTGCAATGTCACTGGATGATTAGGATTGGGGTAACTATCCAAAAAATAGCCTTATTTCAGGTTAGTGAATTAATTTACCCATATATACCTGGACTTCCAAAAGCTGCATTTTTTTTGGTCTGGACTGAAAAGTAGTGAGCGACCAAAAATCGAACAATTACTGAATTTGCCCTCTGTCAGTCACATTTGGAAGGACCAAAAATATGACACAAAATGACGCAGAAAAGACGCGAAAGACCAACTTTTTGACACCAAAACTGTGTCATTGAATCCATCACTCTTAGCCCAAGAGTGATTTTTAGGCCCGCACCCGAAAATCCACAAAGATCGAAAATTATGCGGCTGTAGAAGATTAAATACACATATATACATATATAGAATTAATATTCTCAATTGGTGCCTGGTGACCTATTCTCATCTCAGCTTGATGAACTATTCTCATTTCTCCAGGTATATCATCAACATGTATAGAATGATCATTTGAAGTGATGATGATTCTTTTCCACCATGAATCATAACCATATACCTTTGCCATCTTTCGTTCACCACCCAGGCCGCTACCGGTGCAAAGGGAACGTTCCATGACTTCTATCCCGTCTATACAGTCTGTAGCACCCAGGACTAAAACGCCCCAGCTTGCTGGCGTTTCACCAAAATGATGGCGTTTCAACATGTGCTCCAACCATCATTTGATGCCCAAAAATGGTGGTTTTTCAAGGCAGCAAAGCTGAAGAAATGGGATTTAGGTGGATGAAAAGCAATGACACGTGACTTTTAGAATTGCGGTTTCACATGGTTTCACCAATGGAATCAATGGGGATTTGACAGAGGAATCATGGTCCAAGGGATTCCAAGGGTGATAAAGCACAGAATTTCGCCTGGTTATGGAATAACCATCGCCATTCAGTCCAGGATGTCTTACCGGACTTCATCCCCCATCTTTTTCAGGGCAACTGTATCCAATGATCCAGTCTTTTAATCCAGTTTCTAATGAAACATCTTTTCCGAAGTGGCAGTTCAGAAGAGCACATGAAAATGCCTTTTGGCATACGATTGAACAAATCATCATACAAACACATTACAAATCATACAAATCATCGTTTTTCTTCGCATTTTCTCCACATTTTTGGTAGATCAAACCACCAATGAGGGCCCATGAGGGCCCCAGGCCCCGGTCAGCTCGTCCGTTTCTCCAGGAGCCCCCGCCCCACCGAAGCGGCGACCGCTGTGGGAGGTGGCTTGGCGCCGCCCAAACGCCGCGAGTCGCGTAAAGAGACCATCCGAGATAGGCGCGGGGGATGGAAAAATGGGAAGGTTACCCTCTGGTTATGTCAAAATAGCTATTGAAAATGGCCATAGAAATAGTGGATTTTCCCATTGAAAATGGTGGATCTTTCCATAGTTATGTTAAATTACCAGAGGGTAAGCCGTAGTATGGCTCCCTGAAATGACTAAGCTCACTTGTCTGGTTGACAAGTTGACAAAGAATTTTGGCCGAGAATTTGATGATACTAAGGGAAAGCGGGATTTTACTTAAACAGAAGTTAGAGAAGAAGGGTGAGAATTGCGAGTGACACAGTGATTTCATGTTCTTTCTACCAACACGAATCTTCATGCATGGATCTCTTAGCTGATGCATGGTGCAAATAAACAAGAGTGACCTTCACATGGGCAGACCAAGCCCCATAAGTGGTGGGTCCTGTATGGTACACCAGGATGGTGGCACCTGGAGCCAAACATCGCTGGGAAATCCCCTGGTTTTTAGCATCCAAAGGGGCAAAACGTCGAGCAAGGGCTGTTCCATTGCCATGTTTAATTGCCAGAGGCTATCTTTGGACCATTTTGGACCGTTCCATTTACATGTGACAATCATATAGAGTTCCGATCCGGAGAGCCACCCAAAAGTCGGATTCGAGTCGGTTTCGGGTTTCGGGTCTCGGGTTTCGGGTTTCGTCGATTGAAACCAACTTTCGCTGTCGGTTTCGGGTTTCGATCGGTCCTGGGGAAGGTAAGTCTTCACAGTCGGTTTCGGGTTTCGGGTTTCGGGTTTCGGGTTTCGGGTTTCGGGTTTCGGTCGGCCCTGGGGAAGATGGGGAAGGTAAGTCTTCAGAGACGGTTTCGGGTTTCGGGTTTCGGGTTTCGCAGTTCGAAACCAACTTTAACAGTCGGTTTCGGGTTTCGGGTTTCGGGTTTCGATGGTCGAAACCAACTCTGCAGACCTCTCTCCGGATCACGTCTCATCATATATATCATATATATATATATAGTATATATATATATAGATATAGATATTGCCAGATAGACATGACATGCGACATGGAGCGAACTCACTTGTAACCCAAGCATTAGTTGATGGACGACCGCTCGGGGCTCATGATCCATACGGAAGCCTGGCAGGAGAGACAAATCTCTCCAGACACTGCGCAGTCTGCAAGGTTCACAAGGGTTGGGCAGCTGATTTTAGTTTCGGAGAGGCTTGGAAGGAGCACCCACTCTCCTAAGATCCAGGGGGTACCCTCAAAATCACGGGCAATTTTCTTGGTTCAGAGGTGGATGGTTGGATCATTTCATGGAATTACCACCCCTTTAACGAAACGTGTTCCAAAAACTCGAACACGCCGACAAAGCACGGTGTTCTGGGCAGGCTGTGATCATCTTGTGATTTCCCTTTTCAGCCATGGGATCCACAGCACCAAGAATTCACCGCAGATTTTGCTCCGGGCTCTGGAGCATGATCTTCCAGGCGTAATGGCGCGATACTGTAGATGGTCTATCCATGTCTATCCCACTACAATAGTTATCATAGTTATCAACTGGTGCAGGATTTCTTCCATCCACAGTACAGCAAGTCTCACAAACAATGCACTTGCTAAAAGAGTTGATCTTCAGAGAAAACGGAAGACTGATGTGAAACCACCATCTTTGGTTTAAACAAAAACATCCTCGGAGTCAACTTGTTGGTGACATTTGAAGATTTTCACGGTATTTGGATGGCAACTTATCCCATCTTATCCCTGAAATTTATTTTTTCAGTCGGTTTCAAAAAGCCCTGGACATTGCGGGATAGTGCGATGTCAGGTTTGCCCCGCGACCCTGAAGCCTCCATTACGGCCATGGAGCTAACTCCTTACCAGCGGCCTGGCATCGACTGGGGTGGTCCCAAGGGCCGCCATGGTTTCACCATCCCCCACGCGCTAAAATCACCATGTTTACCCTCTGGTGATTTAACATATCTATGGAACATCACCATTTAGATCCATTTAGTTCGTGAATTTTCCCATGAAAAATGGTGATTTTCAATAGTTATGTTAGTTACGTTAGTTTACCAGAAGGTATCATTCGTATTGTAGCTTCATGGCATTGGCTTTCCCACATGAATAATGATGTAATAATGATATATCAAGATGCCTGGGTGACTTCTGAACAAAACGATGACGCAACATGATGGTGTTGTAACTTGATAGTTTTGCCCGGGCTGTTTGAAGCCAAGATGGGTTGATGACTGTTGCTGAATCCCAGGTGCTGGGCGGATTCTCATACAAATACAAAGGCTGTGCCAAAATGGACGCGAGGAGCGGTTTTCCGAAAAAACACATGGCTTTTCCTTGAAAGTTGGCGCTAATGTATGTTGTTTTTTTGTTGGCCCCCCTCCACCAAGAAAGGGAAGAGTTTTTCCTGTAAAGCGTCACGAATTTCATTTTGCTACACAACGTCCATTGTTTTTGCTTTGTTTTTTGGCCAAAGTCAGGGATGTGCCGTTTCGGTTTCGGAGCAAGTTCCAGAGTCTGGGTTTCCAGATGTTTCCAGCTGGGAAATCCGCATATGTAATATCTTTATATATTTGTATAGCACCGACGACAAGATAGAAAAGGAAGACATCACTATTCTAGTAGGATTTTGTTTTTCTACCCTCTGGTAAACTAACATAGCTATTGAACATGGCAATTTATAGTGGATTTACCCATTGAAAATAGTGATTTTCCATAGCTATGTTAGTTTACCAGAGGGTACCCTTCTTTTGTGGTGCGGTGATTTCACACCGGACCTTGTCGACCGTTTTTTTTTCCGCGCAGGAAGGACCAAGGAGTTATCGATCACTCCAAGGTCCACCAAACAGCACCTTGTTGGTCAATGGTGGCGCTGATATGGAATTTGTTCAGTGGCTTTTCCTCATGTGTGATATGCGTGTTATACGGTATATGATTATATCATTACTAATCATTACATACCAGTACTGTATATATATATATATATTATATGCATGACTAATTAATTATATGATTAAATTGTCATGTATCTATATTCTATGTATCACACACACACACCTACATATATATATACCATTGTCTATACATAATTATGCATTGTGATTCTTTGTTTTTCGTCCGATTTTTGGCGTTTCTTTTGGGATCTCGAGGCCGGCCATCAGTCACGAAACGGAGGAGCTCCCCGAGAGGAGCTATGTGTTGCATCCCGGGGGCAGCTTCCGAACGGGCTGGAACTTGTCCATGGCCGCCTGTGTCCTCTATGACCCATGGCAGTGATGGGGTGGAGATGATGGAGGTTTCCAGGTAGCCTCTGGTTATGTCAAAATAGCTATTGAAAATGACCATAGAAATAGTGGATTTTCCCATTGAAAATTGTGATTTTCTATAGTTATGTTAGTTTACCAGAGGGTAGCTCCGAGGCCAGGTGCAATGCTTCGTCTTTGCCAAATGGTGATCTAAAACCCAGCTTCAAAAACGACAATTTTTCGCCATTTTTTGGGTGGAATTCTCAGGAGGGCGGGTTTACTCCCGAATGGTCCCTGGGTTGTCGTTTTACCATCACCATTTTGTTTCTTTGGTCCACGCCACCACATCCTTTGGTCCTCTGAGTCTTTTGGTCACAGGCCGTCCACTAAACCAACAATCCGAGATTTCTGTTGGCATAAACATTCTACCTTGTAAGGATTTATTGACTGGATAGAGCAGCAGATTTTCACCGGTTCTTTGATGTTCTTTGGTCCGGTTCCGTCTGTAGGGTACGGAGAGTAAGAGACATGGAATCCGACATTGTTTTGAGATTTTTCAAGAGAACAGACTCAAAACGCAAAAAAACCCACATACTCTTAAACCCAACTATCATCATTATGACATGGGTTTGAAGATTGTTCAATAGTATTCTTGATTAAGCCATCGTTTCCAAGATGGACATCACCATCTTTTCCAGGTGTCCAACTTTTCTATCTCCGGTGCCACAATGCCCTTGGGTGTAAATGTGGCAATGGAGAATCCAACATGTACATGGGCCTCTCGCATGAACAACTCCATTTATAGAGAATTTCCAAGTGTCATGTTGATTGCTAGAGGGTAGAAAGAGCATACACCGTCTTATTATCTCTATGAAACCACACACGTCCGATTATTGTCCCATTATTTATCCCTATAAAACCACCACGGAGCCACTATTTATCTGGTATATCGGTATGTCCATTAATTTCACATTATTATCCCATCTAGATCCACCCATCTCCCAGTATTGTCCCATTTAGATCACCATTGAAACCTCCACAAACCTTGAATCTTCGTGGGTCCTTTGAAGATCATCACCATCCGGCCGACCTTGACTCACCATCGAAGCCTCCATCAAAAAACCCATGATGACTACTACCCTCCGGTAATGACTAACATATATAGCATTATATAGCTATTGAAAATAAAGATCTATAGTTGATTTACCCATTTAAAAATTGTGATTTTCCAGTTCGCTTTTTCCAGGTTTACCAGATCATTTTCCGGCATTTTATAAAATCATTGAGTTCAGCATTTTCCCAGCAATTTTCCCAAGGACTTGCTGGTGATCCCGCTGAACGCCTATGACGTCCCGCAGAGTCACCTGAAACCCGAAACGGGTCAAGTGGGAAGACCATTGAGGGTTTAAAGCAACGAATATGGGAAGAATCTGATGGTGATTGAGCCTTGCAAAAGCATGGTGAATGGTGATTTTTCCTGGTGATTGAACCAAACCAATGATACTTAAGATGGAAGTTTAACAGGGAAAACATGTGATTCAGAAAAAAGGGGGATTTGAAGGGCACAACTTATGCTGTAACCAAAAAGAGTGTCTTTTTTGGTGCATCTCCCATTGATATCCCAGGAATTTTAGAAATGTCCCAGGAATTCTGGGGTTAGGGATCCACCGACAATTTCGCCCACCTCGGAAGGGACGACCGGAAGGGACGACATGGTGGGATAAATCATCCAGATACCTTGGCAAGGCTTGAAACAAAAACCACAAGAATTCGATAGCCAAGAAGAAGTGCCATATATATATATAAAATTCTATATATATATAATATGTATCTCCATGTTTGGTTGGGATTGCCACAGATATTTCTGATGGTCACCACTCTTTTTGGGTTCTCGTTCTCGTCCCTTCGTGGGCGCCCGTGACAGCAGGTGTGGTGCTCGAGATGTTCGACGACCAGATTTGCTTCAGTCAGGGGTCAAATTTGGGATTCTATCTGGGATGGTTGCCTAACAAAAGTGGCTGAATTCTCTGGTTTATGGTACCCTCTGGTTATGTCAAAATAGCTATTGAAAATGGCCATTTATAGTGAGTTTACCATTAAAAAATGTGATTTTCCATAGTTTTTTGTATGTTTACCAGAGGGTAGATACTATAGTTGATGGGTTTGTAAACCAACAAGCATCACTGGGGGGCACCATCCTGGGAAGTCGCAACGCGACCAAAGCCTGGAATGATGCGAATTGGATTGGGGTAACATGGGGTAAACTAACAGTTAGCTATGGAAAATGACCCATTTATAGTTGATTTACCCATTGAACATGGTGATTTTCTATAGTTTTTTGTAGGTTTACCAGAGGGTAACTATCCCGAATTTCACCGAACTTTGCAGATCAGGGCTGGCGCAAATGGGGGTTGTTTCAAATTTGGAACCCACAAATTGAGGGTGTATCATCGTTTTCCCAGGCCATGTTAACATGTTAGTGTATCCTTTGCATTTTGAGACAAAGAAACTTGCCCCAAGAAAGGTTCCGACATTGAAGTTTGCCTACAATGTGGGGCCCCCCAGTGATGTTTGTTGGTTTATAAACCCCATGAATACTCTAGTTATTTGCGTACCATAAACCATATAGTTATCTGAGTTATGTGAACCCCAACTGAACGCTATCGTAAACGGGGGCCCCACTTTGTGTAGTAACCCATGGCTTTTCCCATGGCTTTCCCATGGGTTTTCCATGGCTTTTCCCATGGCTTTTTCCATGGCTTTTTCCCTGAGGATTGGTTCATTCAGATCTTCTGGAACTGTGATCTGATGATTTCCTTTCTGACGGGCTACTACGATGCAGGGACCCTGGTGACCTCGCTGCCGAAGATCGCCGTGCACTATGCGAAGACCTGGCTGCTGTTTGACGTGAGCCTGTTGTCCATGGATTGGGCCTTCCGCTTTATGGACACTTGGCGAATCGCAGATGCAAAAAAAATAAATGGCAGTCCCAACGCTTCACATGCCCAAACTTTCAAAAAGTCGCAAACAGATTTTGTTGAAACGCACATTTTTCGCCCAAAAAAAAAACATAATGTCATGCTAAGAAGCAACACTCTCCGATTGACTTAACACAGATAGAGAGAGAGAGAGAGATAGATAGATAGATAGATAGATAGATGGATATATATATAATTATATATATATATATATTTGTTTATCCTTCAAATCCATTCATATCAGGCATCTGTTCATCTTTTCTCAGCATTTTCCACATATTTTCCACACATTTCGCACACATTTCACCTTGATTTCCAGCTTTTATGGAAACGTCGAGGAATGGTCCAATGACGGCGGCTTGGAGGCCATCATGTGGTCCCGCAGTCTACGGATGCTGCGCTTCCTGCGGCTGATGCGGATGCTGCGGATGGTCAAGTTGCGACGGATCAACGAAGTCTTCCAGGAATTCTTCCAATCGCAGGTACCGTTGGATGGGAAAATGGTGCTGAATTGCGGGAAAAACATCGTTTAGCCGCTGGTAAACTAACAGTTTGCGAACTGGAACATCACCATTTTTTAATAGGTAAATCATCTATAGAGTATCAATTTTCCAGTTCGCTATGTTAGTTTACTGGAGGCTAAAAGTTGATTTCCATGGGTATATTTTTCTGACCTTCTTCATGGCGTGAAGCTTCACCACTTCGGGCGATGGATGCTGGATATATATTAATATATATATATGGGTATTCATTGGCTTGGTTACATGGAACGTTTACGGTTGAAACCATTTCTTTCTCCATTCTCAGACAACCGCACTCTTTCTCCATGGTTTGAGGTGTGGTATACCGGTATACCCGAAATGGTCATCCAACATGGCTGGGAACAAGGGTGCCGAACCCACCCTTTTTTTTCTGGCCTAAATGCCAAATCTTAATTTTTCTTGGTAAAACAACATGTAAAAGTACCAATTCTTGATTGTCAACTCGTTTTTGGAATTGATTCGCCAACCACTCCTGGTTAAATTCCGATTTGTTTGATACTCAAACACACCATTTTTTCTTGTTCGATCTCAGTTGCTGATGCTTAGATTCCGACTTTTGATTATTTTTGATTGTCCAATCCCAATGTTTGATGGTTAAGAATCATTTCACATGTTTTTTTTGACATATCAATTCCCCATTTTTTGTCATGATCAATGGGAATTTCAGGATCCTAAAATGGAGGTACTGTACCATATAAGGCCATATTTTGTGGGGATATTCCCTTACATAGCCCTTACATAGGGCTTATATATTAAGTAGGTATACTTCCAATTTAGATTCCTGAGATGGCCAGCGACATGATTCTATCCCAATTCTTGATATTTTTTCATTGCACTGTTTTGACGGTGGCACGTCACGTGCCACGTCTCCCTTGGAGCCCCAGGCTGCTACGCTCTACTATAGTCTTTTCAGCAGCCTCATCCACCTTTGTGGCCTGTCTCCTGAACACGGGCTAAACATTGACAACTTGCAGAGGGATTTTCGATCGTTTTTGGATGTTTAACTTGAACATTTACGGAGGGATCTTGGATCTTTTTGGAAGGTTAAAACTTATCATTTTAGGGATTAACATCTATCATTTTCAAAGTTTTTTTGGTGTGTGTGTGTGTAGGGCGGTAAGCATTTAAATGTATTTAACATGTTCATTCTTTTGTATATGCTCTGGGGGTTTGGGATAAGCATCCAAGTAGACCAATTGCTGGATGAACCCCTCTGCAGCACGAGATCTGTGCGTAGGGAACCAGAGAAGAGAAGGTCTAATTCATGCGTCTGAGAGCAATGCACAGAGAGAGATAG